TGTCTGTGTGTGTCTGTCTGTTTCTGTCTGTCTGTGTGTGTCTGTGTGTGTCTGTGTCTGTCTGTGTCTGTCTGTGTGTGTCTGTCTGTGTCTGTCTGTCTGTGTCTGTCTGTCTGTGTCTGTCTGTGTGTGTCTGTTTCTGTCTGTCTGTGTGTCTGTTTCTGTCTGTTTCTGTGTGTCTGTCTGTCTGTTTCTGTCTGTCTGTGTGTCTGTGTCTGTCTGTCTGTGTGTGTCTGTCTGTCTGTGTCTGTCTGTCTGTGTCTGTCTGTCTGTCTGTGTCTGTCTGTCTGTCTGTCTGTTTCTGTGTGTCTGTCTGTCTGTGTCTGTCTGTCTGTGTCTGTCTGTCTGTTTCTGTCTGTTTCTGTCTGTTTCTGTCTGTTTCTGTGTGTCTGTCTGTCTGTGTGTCTGTTTCTGTCTGTCTGTGTGTCTGTGTCTGTCTGTCTGTGTCTGTCTGTCTGTTTCTGTCTGTTTCTGTGTGTCTGTGTGTCTGTGTCTGTCTGTCTGTGTCTGTCTGTCTGTGTTTCTGTCTGTTGTCCTCGCCTGGATGTTTGTCTGTGGTGGATTTTGGTATCCTGGTTCCCGCCTATCTGGTTTTAGGCTTCAGGTTCTGGGATGCACTATGTCCCCACAAAGACAGTAAGCCAGACATGTGTGTGCGTTTGGGGTGTTTTGGAGGATTATGTTAAAGCGTTCAGCTCGGACTGGAACCATTTCTCTCTGACAGCCATGTGAGACCAAGCCGGCGTGCCGGCACTTTTTCCCACAATCCCTCTTTGTTTGACTGCGTGTCACCGGTCCAGCATGGAGGGGGGTTAGATTAAGAAGACACGGATATGAACTTCCTCCAGTCTGTAAAGCCTCAGATCTTTTCTTGTTGTTGAATGTGAAACTGAACGCTTCACTTCTTCCTCTGTTTTATTCTCTCAGCCGCTCCCTCCTTCTGTCCTCGTCTTGAAATTCAAGGCTTTTTACAACAGTGATAAAAAATACAGTTATATATGTTAAAAAATATATAGAAACTCATTTCTTTCAAGTTCTGCAGAAAAATCAAGAGAAAGATGCACCTGTAACCACAGTGGCCACAGTACGGTTACTGCTGCTGTGGTGGTCATAAATGATCTTATTGGTGCCTTATTTGTAGATCTATTTGTTTGATTCTGTGGATCATGAATTGTTGCTGAACAAACGTAGGGATGCTGGTTTCTGTCCTAATGCTGTTAAATGGTTTAGAAACTATTTTGTAGATTGGACTCAGTGTGTCATTTCATGCATTTCACTCATTACAAACTGTTCTGCTCAATTTAAATTTGGTTTTTAATCCTCAGTAAACGAAGTTCATGGTCTCAAAAGCTCGCCTACAGTTGCTTGATGATCTTAGCATTTTTACGTCTGATGGTAAATCCATTGATAGGGTACCCACGTACAAGTACAGTACTTGGGTATACGGATAGACAACAAACTTTTATTTAATGTACATGTTGCTAATCTAGTTAGGAAGCTCAAAGTGAAGATTGGCTTTTATTATGGTGACATATTATATATGCACGCAGCCTCCTCCATCTTACGGAGCCTTGATTCGTGTATCATGCATCTTTACGCTTTATTACAAATGCAAAGTCCCTCACTCACCACTGCATTCTTTATGATCTGGTAGGTTGGACATCGCTGACCACCCGCAGAAAACAGCACTGGTATATTTTTATAAATAAAGCCATGCTAGGTAAACTTCCAGCTTACCTCTGAACCCTTCTCTGTCTGTGTTACCAGCTACGCGCCTCCAAGTGGTTGCTTTTTAATGAACCCCGGGTTTTGACAGATCTGGGGAAAACTGCATTTTCATACTATGCATCCTGGGCATGGAATAATTTGCAAAAAGATCTCAAACTAGAAACGTGTATATGAATTTATAAATTTAAGAGCATCATAAAGAATGTGGTGAAGGAGACGTGATTGTTTTTCTTGAGAGGCCAGTGTGTTTGAATAGATGTGTTTTTTGTTTGTTTGTTTTTGTGAATTTTGTCATGATTGTACGAAGCATTTTAATATGTTGTGTTTATGTGTAGCTGCTACCTCGGCCAGGTCTGAGATTTTTGATCTCAATGAGACTTCCTGGTAAAATCAAGGTAAAATGAAAAATAAATAAACAAGTGATGTCACACTGTGCTGAAGTACACCTGACTGCAGCCAGGTGAGAAGTGAAACCACAGGAGGTTCAGCAAAGACGAGGTTCACGGGTCAGTTCGGTCTGTTTATGTGGAAGGACATTACATTTATTCATTTAGCTGACGCCTTTATCCAAAGCGACTTACAGCTGCCATACTGATTAAAATCAGACACAGAATCTTCAGGTGGTGGTAAAACTGTTCAGGTTCCTTTTTTCTTAGCTCTGTGTTTCCGCGTCATCTCTGTTATGACTTCTCTGAATATAAACATTCATAAAATCTAATTCTTATTGATGAAAACTCAATAAAAAGTCTGATCTTTCAGTTAAATGTAAAATATAAATGTGTTTGAAAGAGAGAAACATTCTGTACTGAGTGTTTGCTGCCACCTGCTGGTCCGGATCATCCAACACACTTCTGATCAATAACTGTCCCTTCAGCTCCATTTGTCTTGTTAGTTTAAAGTGTTGGATATGAATGTGTGTGTGTGTGTGTGTGTGTGTGTGTGTGTCACATAAACCTCGTCCTGCTGCAATAAGTCAGACTTTACAGGTTTTACATTTACTGACAGACAGAAGCCTTTAAGAAGAAAGTGTTCATGTTTATGAGACTGGTGGGTAGCAGAAGGTCCAACTTAACACAAATATTAAACATTTATTTACAACGTTTCAGGGTCTCCATCAGGGAAAATGGATCTGCCAATGAGAAGCCATCTGAAACAGGAAATGGCTGTAACGACACAACCCATCATTACTACAGCTGAACTCTAAATAATTAGTTATATCAATAAACGGATCAAACTGATGCTGAAATAACGACATCAATATGCTGATTTGTTTTGGTTTTTTGCTGACAGAGAAAAGAGACTCAGACAGACGCAGCTTGAAGAGCTTCTGACCTCGTGGCGTCGAGCCACAGGGAGCTCTAAAGCAAAGAAATCTAGCAGCAAGTTCCACCAACGGTGTAGTGACAGAGGATGTGGTGGATTACCAGGACTTTCTCTGCAGCAGTCAGGCCGGAAAGACAAATTCTGTTTCCATGCAGATACACCAGAACCCCAGAGTTTTCATTGAATTTCAGATAAAGGTTTAGTAACTTGTAACCAGAAGGACTTCAGAGCATTCCCAAAACATCTGGAGAGCCCTGTGAACACAGCTGACAGAGCAGAGCTCATTCTAACTCAATCAAATGTCTCATTCTGGCCGTTAAAGAAGTTCAGAGACGAATCTTACGAGAATGGATCTGTGACTGGGATTTTTTGAAGCCTGATTAATATTATTCCAAATAGTTCTAAGATATTTCAGAGGAAATGAAGCAGTTGGTTTAGAGGAACTTTACATTGTTGATACAGTTCCCACTGCACAGTTGATTTTTATTATGCTGATTGGTTAAAAATATGAATTCATGTTTTTTCAGGTCTGTCAACTAAACTGTAATAGAAATGGAGAACAGATGAGTTCTTCTATTTTTAAAGTTTCAAAACATCTTCCCGAAGGACTGCGGTTGACACTCGCACCCTCGGTTGGTCCGAGGACCCGCAAAAACTATGTCCGTAAACACTACGACATACAACCAATCACAATCTGCCGCGTCATCGTACAAACGTACAGCCGATCCCGTTATGTGACGCAGGACCCTGAGCAGATCTGGTACCTGCGCCGGTCTGAGCAGGAGCTAAATCGTGGCTCCGCACACGCTGCGTGTAAAACATGCGAAAGAAATGAAACAAAAAAAACTTGTAATCATGTGACGGAATATCAAACACCTTTAAGGTATTTTGGCAAAAATTTCATGTTACCAAATGTAAAGTTAGCCAGACTAAATCCGGTCTATAGTTAGATAGATGGTGAAATGACGGCTTGCTGGGCGCAGACACATTAATTTATATTCAGTTATATTAATACATATAAGACTCAATATATTTTACACAACAGTAACCATTTCAAACGGTTTCATCCCTCTTCACACACTTAACCGCGCGACCTCTGACATGTTGTTTTGGATAAAAGCGTCGGCTGAATGAATCCATGAATAAATGTAAATCCTTCTGAGCCAACAAATTATTATTATTTTGATTGTTTGATTTTCAGTAATTGTTGTTTTAATAAACTAATTGGTTATTATTATTATTATTTTGTCTATTAATACACACGTTTACAGTTTTATCTATTTTATTTTGTATTATCACACAAACCCAACTTACTGTTTTATGTCCTTACTTAATGAAATGAATTCACTGTAAAAATTATCAAGGTAGTTTAACTTAAAAACTTAAGTTCAATTGCTGCCTTAAAAATGTGAGTAAACTCAACTTTAACAAAAGCTTTATTTTAACTCATGGTGTTACCTTCCACAAGTTGTTTAATTAATGATCATTTATGGTTTCAACTTGATACTGTGAGTTAAACCAACTACCTATATTACATTGGTCATTCAAAGAAACTTGCTTTCTTTTGTCAAACAAACATACAAATCTAAGCTATTTCAACTCTAAGTTAAGTTAAGGAAGTTGTTTAATGAATGATCATTTATTGTTTCAACTTGATACTGTGAGTTAAACCAACTATCTGTATTACATTGTCTAGTCAATGAAACTTACTCTTTTTTGTCAAACAAACATGCAAGTCTATACCCTTTCAACTCACATTTTTAAGTTAAGATAATTGACTATATTCATACCAATTGCCTTTTGAAGTTAGGTTAACTCATGTTTTTAAGGCAGCAATTGAACTTATAATTTCAAATTAAGTAGACTTGTGTTTTTAATTTCCATCCCCTATCTCAACTAATAATGGCAAGTTCACCAGTTTCTTAAGAGTACAATGAATGAACTTACAATTCACGTATTCAACAATTTATTGTAAGTACCTCAACTCACAGCCTTCGTCTCCTTCAGATACACTTGTAATTGACACAACAAGCCTAAAAGCCAATGAAAACATCTCAGACTACACAAGTGCCAAAGTGAGACCATATTTATGATAATTTAACATGTTCTAACAGTATTTAAACATAGTCACCTATGAAGAGCGAGGTCAACCCAACCAACTCTTATACCAATCAGTTCATTTAAATGAGATGATATAAACCTTGAGACCGTTTGCCTGCAACTGCATTTAACAATCAAAAAACATAAAGAAAAACGTCTGAGGAGAGAACAGTTGATACCATCAGCTGTAATCAGTAAAATGCTTGTGATTTCTACAACATGGTGACTAATGAGTAGTAATATTGAAAAGGAAATGCACAAAACTCAAATGTCCAAGTCCATTACAGTCTTGTTCCATTGAAGATAAAGAACTTTGAGGCTGGTTTGTGTTGTCTTAAGTACTCCACTTCTAACGTCACAAGACTTGGAACAGTCGAGACTATCAGCTCTCACAATCCGTCCAATAAAAAAGTGGGGAGGATCAGTGTTTTGTCCCCTCTATCATTCTCAAAATTAAGTTTTAAATTGTGAGACAGTGCTGTTTTTCCACAGTACAGAACAGTGCTGAAAGTGCATATAAAAGAGAACAATGAAGTCTTGACAGGAACAATATCCACATGAGAATCTTGAGAAAATGAGGAGCAGGTGTTACAGTCTGTACCTCAGGATTCTGTTTCTTAGTCCATGTTCTCGGGCAGATGCTTGGTCTGGTTTTATCTTCATCACCACTCTCTGAAGAACCTCAAAGGAATACTTCATGGCTTCTGGGTACTCGAGATTGACACAGTAGATGACACCCATGAGCATGGCCAAGCTGCATGCCACATCTTTAATGTTGTCTCCTCAACCACAACAGCTATCTCGAAGACCTCCCGTGGAAAGGCATCCCGTTCAGCAGGCCAAGTTGCATCCCCTTCATGGTTTCATCCAGAGTCTCCCTGTGAGCCTTGAAAAGCAGAGACAGTGTGTGACTGTTTTAGTCTACAATTATATAGGCTTTAAAAGGCTAATTTAAAATGCAATCATAATCCTCAAATATAGAGCAGGAAAGTTACACCCTTTAGTTGTTCCCCAAATAGACTGAACCTGATCAGTAACACCAACTATCAATTCATTTTCAGAATTTCAACCCTTGGAAGTGAGACAGAAATAGTTCAGACACTGAAGAACTTTAGCAAATGTTTTAAAATTGTTCTCTAAAAGATGAGTGACCGGAACAGCCATATATAAGAAAAAAAAAAGTGTAAATTACACATTATAAACCACATGAATTGAAATCTATCATTTAAGTTATGAGAAAATGCAAAGTAAAGTTTGAATGAATTGAATGAGTTTTCATGACTATTAGACAGGCAACGTTAATAAGTCTGGGTTGGGGTATGAAGTATTTTTCTTTCTTGAAAATCTACCCTGGGAAAAGAAAAAGTCCCACAGTAAAATAATCACCCATATACACATAACAGTTTTGCGTTACAGAAATCATAATGGTCTTACGTCACACATCCTGACTACAGTTGATGGATCTTCGCCTGATATGTAGTGTGGCAGACCAAGCAAGGCAGCAGTCCTTCTCTTCTCATTTGTATCCTACAAGAAAAAGAAACATGCAGTAAGTTGAAAATGTTTTAGCCAAGATAATACATTTTGCCTAATTTTATGATCTGCTCTCCACTTACATCTTTCTGAAGGCAGTCCAAAATATCTTTGAGTGATTGCTTCTTTCCAGTCTTGGTTGCTGCTTTGTACACCTCTAGCAGTCTTGGGACCAGGCCATCACGTCTGTCGAGAAAATATTCCAGAAGGTCTTTGGTGACCATTCTCTTGAACTCCGTCCTGATCTGAGAAGAGGCAGATAGAAAATATAAGTCAAACATAATTATGAACAAGACACAGTATCAGACAAAACGTGCTTCTATCTGTCAACTGAGTACCTGTCTCTCATGCAACAGAGCTGGCCATCTGGAAATGACTTCTGTGATGAGTGGCTGATCTCCAATTATCTCTTTTCTGCGCTGGGAAAACGTAGCAACCATCAGGTCTTCTACCAGCTGGGGATCAGGGTCTCTTTTCAGCATTTCAGCCTCCATCATATTACGCTTCTCCTCCATGTTTTCAGGACTCTGTCCTTCAGGCGGATCTGGACAGTAGTTGACCTCACCCTTCTTTGACTTCTTTACACTTTCCCCTTCGAACCTTCTCCTTTTCTTTACCACCACCTCAGGGCATCCTGCTGCACTTAACTTTTGCCGATAGTTTCCAAGCTTAAATTTCAGGCTGTGAAACCACGAGTACCATCCCATTTCCGACCCTGGCTCCTTCAGACTAGGATGCTTCTCCACAAGTGCTTTGGCTTCATTCTCATAGTGATGCCTCTCAGGATAAGCACTAATCTTTGACATACTGTCGGCCAGTATATCAAGAATGTCTTTAAACCTTTAGGAATCACCATTACAGATCCATCCTTAGCATTGGCTTCTTTCAGCTGCAGCTCCACATCATGTGAGAACTGTGGAATCGGGAAGGGGTCAGGCCATTCAACACAATCTCTACTAAGAGAAGGGAGGCTGCAAGTGTCCAGTGTAGAATCTGAGACGTCATCAGCTGTGAACAACACTTTCACAGTTGCCCACCCACAGGAAGGTCTTTGATGTCTGTTAGGTTGCACAACTGATTATTGAACTCAGGATCCTCAAATTGCAAAATGAATCCACCTCTCAGACCAAGCTTTGTTCGCAACACCTGATACAGCTCCTCAACACTGGATGGGATGTCTTCATTTTCTGATATGATGACACGCAGCAGCATTGTAGACTACTTTTACCTGAAAAGAGATAAAAATACATAGTTTTAAGTATAAATGTTTACTATAACCTCTTCTTTTGCTGTGTTCATGAGGGAGAGGGGCGGGATTAGATTTAGATTTTAAATAGGCCTAGTAAAAAAACGAAAATCAATATGTGGCAGTCTGCGTTGATATTGTGGCAGGACGCCACAAATAAATTACGTATGGGAAACACTGATTTGTCAACTCGCCACTGCCTGTTAAAACAGATGTGGTGGATCAGAGGCTGCCGTTTTAACGTCACTGCACTCTTTCAAAAAAAAAAAAAAAAAGAGTCAAAATGAACTAATGTTATCTTCACCTGCTCAGCTCTCTCTTTGCTCTTCTCACGGTCAGACAGTGAAACACACGATGGCGCCAGTAAAGTCTACCTTCCTCCCGCTATTTTTTTTTTTTAAATTGGCAGGTTAAGCTGAAGCTGAGTACAAACTCACTAATAAGCGAATAACATTGCAAAAGAAACTCGTCACAGATTAGCTAACAATGTTAAGAAAGCCCAAATTCTCTTAATTTTGCTGAAGCAGCTAACTTTAATTTAAGTAGCAACTCACCTGGTCAAGGCTAATTTCTGAAATGCCAACGCCTCTCCACCCACATCGTTGGAACAGGCCATGGCTAATTACTGAAACCACGTTGATAACGTTACGAGTCACGGCTAATTACTGAAACGTCGACGCTACTCCACACATCGTTGGGACGGGCCAAGGCTAATTACTGACACTAAGTTACACACAGAGGCTCTAGTAAAGCAGCTAACTCAAACATTCAAACAGCTACCAAGCGCCATAAATGTCCTTTTTTGAGGGGTGAATGTCATAAAAGATTGTGTTTCTTCTTAATAAAAGTAAAAAGTGATTCTCGGACTAACGTTAAACACTGTAAAGTTGGGTTCACTGCTCAACACTAACATTACATGCATTAATAAGCTGCTCTGAACTATCCCGTGTTCAGAAAGTTTCATGACAGCGATTCGTTTCTTCATAACTAACGTTAAGTTAATTGACTCATTGAATTGGGTTACAATTATTATAAATGACAGACTCACCTTGCTTCTCTTGCTCCAATCCGAAAAGACCCGCTTTTCCGCTGCCAAGTCTCATCCACATCTTGCTGGAAAATAACGTATTCATCCGCTACTTATCTGCTCACCATTGTCAGTAGCCTCTTCTTCTCTCAATGGGGAATTGCAATTGGGTGGTGCGCCTCATTAATGTGTTACAAAAATCAATCAGCATAGTTATTAGTCGTATATCAGATCAAGAGAAAATATTCAGGACTATTTGCACCGCGCATTAATACTGTCGCCACACCGGGGTCATGGTCACTTTTTAAGAGATCCGGTTGTCATATTCCAACTCACACTTATAAATTAAGTTGACACATTGAAATTTACATTTCACTGAACTGGCTTACAAACCTGAGTTGTGATAGTGATAACTTATTAAATTAAGTTGAAATTTCATAACTTATTATGTTAAGTGGAGGTAAATTATAGAAAGAAGTTACTATAACTTATTGATCCAATCCTTTTTTACAGTGTTGTCCTTGTGTAATTTACATGCAGCTCTGCCAGTACTGTCGCTCTGCATTCATGCCAGAAAAGCTGATTGAATTTGAATTTCGTTCAGCTGAAGGAGGATGTCCAACACCTGGAGATACGGGGTTTGTTCGGCAGGGTTCAACAGATTCTGAAGACATTTCTTTGGGTTTCGAGGCCCCGGAGGCCCCGGAGGCCCCGGAGGCCGCTCAGAGCTCCTGTGATCACAAACACGTGTTCTGTTCTCAGCTTCCTAAAGAGCAAAGTTTATTATTGTTTATTTATTATATAGATAAACTTTGACAGACAGCTGATTCACTTGTCCCCAGTCGGCTTTTTGATTAAAAAAACACAGTTTAACAAAACCAAAAATAAGTAAATAAAAATGGAAGAAAATGAAAAAGGATCCAATATATATACAGTTTAACCTCTGGGATGTAAGAAATACTCATGGAAAGTACTTTTACTGGCCTGCAGTTTAAAGCTCAGCAGTGAAAGTTATCTGGGCTGCAGGACTCACAGGGATCCGGGGCTCCGGGGCTCCGGGGCTCCGGGTCGTGACGGAGGAGGAGGCGCCGGAAAACACGACTCCTGCAGCGGGGAGGGGGGCGGGGCGGGGAGAGGCGGCCCCTGGCCCCTGCAGGTCCCTGGGGTGCAGCTTCCTGGGAGTCCTGCTCTGTCTGGCTTTAATGGGACTGTCTCCATGGAAACGAGGCGTCACGACCCGCAGAGGGACGCGGGTATAAAAGAGGGACCCGGCGGAGACTCTGAACTCCACCGGACCCCTCCAGCACGTCTGCTGCCCCGGAGCCGCTGAGCCGAACCCGGATCATCCAGCCCGGTCCTCCGCTGCCTGCACGAGACATGCCGCACGAGGCCGCGCGTCACCTCCTCACCTGCAACAGGTAGGAAACCGAGCTGAACCGCAGTCTGGGGGTCAGTCCGGAGACCTGGATCCCGGTCAGACCCGCAGGGAAACAGCTGCACCCGATCAGATCACAGCTGTTCAGAACCAGGTCTGACTGGAAACTGGTCTCCTTTTTATTGATGTGGAGATTTCAGACTCTGACCGTCTGTCTGTCTGCAGGGATCCGGATCGACGCGTCCTGATGGAGCTCAGAGCGACTCCGTGTGAGCTGGACCTCCCTGACGGTCCGAGCGAACTTCTTCTTCTTCTTCTGTCCTTAAATGATGAAAACTGAATGTGAAGTTTAGTTTTTTCATATCTGACAGATTATTTGGTTCCTGTTTAACATTTACAGTCTGATGAATAAAGGCCACAGAGCAGCAGCTGGGCTCTGATTGGCCAGACCCCCCGGGACCAGAGCCAATCACTGATTAGAATGAAAAGCTTCTCCGGTCACTCTGGCGGCGCAGACCAGACTCCATGGAGGAAAACACTGATTTTAGAGTCAGCTGTTCTTGTACTGCCCGTTTCTTCTTCATGTGTTCCTGTGTGCCGGCCGGGTGTCCTCAGATCTGGTTTTCGTGAGTCCGGCTGACCCCCCTGCTCTCTCCTCCCACCCCCAGGTTCTGGTCCCCGGGTCGTCCGTCGGATCTCCACCAACAGCCGGGAACGTTGGCGTCAGCAGAACGTTAACGGGGCGTTCAGCGAGCTGCGGCGTCTCATCCCCACTCACCCCCCCGACAGGAAGCTCAGCAAGAACGAGATCCTGCGCCACGCCCTCAGGTACATCAGCTTCCTGGACCGGGTGCTCACAGACCAGGACCTCAGAGGGGCCCCCCGGGGCCGAGCGGGGAGCCTGGAGCGGGAGGACGGGCCGCAGGGGACGCTGTCTCCAAACTCCAGCTGTGACAGTTCAGTGGAGGGGGACTGGGACAGCCTGACGGGGGACCAGGACTACAGAGGTCCCCTGCAGAACCTGGACCAGGCGAGCTGGCAACCAGCTGATCAGACAGGCTGGATCCAGCAGAGACCAGCAGGGCGAGACCAGTCCGGCTGATCCAGCAGAGACCAGCAGGGCGAGACCAGTCCGGCTGATCCAGCAGAGACCAGCAGGGCCAGACCAGTCCGGCTGATCCAGCAGAGACCAGCGGGAGGAGTCCAGTCCGGCTGATCCAGCAGAGACCAGCAGGGCGAGTCCAGTCCGGCTGATCCAGCAGAGACCAGCAGGGCGAGTCCAGTCCGGCTGATCCAGCAGAGACCAGCAGGGCGAGTCCAGTCCGGCTGATCCAGCAGAGACCAGCAGGGCGAGTCCAGTCCGGCTGATCCAGCAGAGACCAGCAGGGCAAGTCCAGTCCGGCTGGCCTGATGTAAAACATGTTGTTGTTCTGGACCGAGTTGATGTGATATTCACATCTTCAGTGTTTCACCGTCTGGTTGAGTTTTCTTGATGCAGAGTGAGCTGAAATGTTCTGCCGGCAGAGAAGAAGAAGTCGTGCTGGACAGGAAGTTCTGCGTCTCAGCAGAAGAGTCAGTGACCACGTTTAGTTTCTTTAAGTTAAAGAACTTTGGTGTTTCTGCAGTTTGAACTTCGTCCTGATGTTTGTTGTCTGCAGATTATTTGGATCTGAGATGTTTCTGTGAGAATACAGATCAATAAAAAGTTTGCTGCAGTGGTTTCTGTTTAATCCCAGAGATTATATTCAAGGTCTGAATCCATTTAAAGAGAAAGACTCTGAAAGACTCTGAAAGACTCTGAAAGACTCGAAAGTCACCAGTTAAACTTTGAGATCCTTCAGAGTATTTCTGTTTTCTGGTACTTTCTACTTTCATTGCGCTACATTTGTTTAAAGCTTCAGACACTTTGCAGATAATCTAATAAATGCTGATTATTCTTCCAGATTAAAGTCCAGCAGCAGAATCTAAATCATCTGAAGCTGCAACATTAAAGTGATTCATTTCATAAATACGCTGCGTAATAAATACTTTCTGTGGCACGAGTGTTTATTTCACCCTAGTTTTTGGGAGCAGGAAACGGAGGTCGTGTCCGTCTCTTCAGACACACCTGTTCAGTACATCCAGCACGGTGCTCTGCTGACCCTGATCTCCCTCAGACCTGCCGCCGGGTCCGCCTGCCTCACTGTTGGAAGGAAGAAGCCTAACTGCTCCTTCACGTTCCTCGCGCCCATAAAATGTCGGTGCAGCCATTTCCTGAGAGTCGCAGTAGGCAGTAAAAGAAACAAAATGATGAAGGCGTTAACTGTTCGTCACAATGTTCACTGCACAAACACCCTGAGGCCACGGCTGAAGAAACGACCTCGAGCTCCCCGTCCAAAATAAGAGAAACGGCTGTCAGTATCAGTCAGTCCTGCATCAGCTGTTCCTGAGTTCAGCCGTCACAACGTTTACAGAACGTGTTCACATAGAAATATATACTTTATTTATTTCTTCATGAATCACAGGTGGACCAATGAAAACGCTGCTGCAGGATGTTTTCCCACAGTACGGTCTGTCGGGAGGGGGCGTGGCCTGTCACTGTAACGAGCCGATGATGAGCGGCGTAGAGATAACGACTGATAAACATCTCCAGCCAATCAGACGGCCCCGAGAGAGACGACAGCAGCAACAGGTCCCAGAGGAGGGAAGGGGCGTGTTCCAATTAGAGAGGGAGGGGGTTTAGTGTGAGATGCTGCTTCGTCCTCAGTTCCCACCTGTCAGCAGCTGGTTCATCTGATCTGAGGTCTGCCCCCCCTCCGCTGTTCCCAGCAGCCCAACAACCCCCTGCAGAGACTAAGGTGGATAACAGAATTTTAATTGCTTAAAGATGTTGCTGCAGATTACAGACTCGTCTCTTCATCCTCAGTTCCCACCTTCCTCTCTGTCACAGTCAGCAGCTGGTTTACCCCCCCCCCCCCCCTTAGCTGCAGATTACAGACTCTTCAGTTCGTCCTCCCGTCTGTCCTCATCACTCCATGTTCCACAGCTGGAGGCTGAAAGTTTCTCAGATTAGAGATTCTGTCTCTGAGTCTCTCCCTGAAGAAGGAAAGATTTCTCAGCTTCTGTTGGTTCCTGGAACCCAAATAATAGTAAATGTGTTTTTACTCAACAGGTGAATTCTGCCACACTCTCTCTGTAAAACGCCTGGGAGGCAGAGTGAGGAGGAGGTTTGGGAGGAGCCCTCAGCTGGGCTCCTGGTGCTGATCAAAGACCAGTGATAAATAAACTCGTTAACTGTGACAGCAGTTGAAGTTGGACGCTGTATTTCCAGATGTTTTCACATCAGTTTACCTGCAGAACAAGTTTCACTGTCTGATGCTACCAAGTTTTATTTTAATTTAATACTTTGCCTTTCACTTTACGGTTCCCCTTCACACTGTGAGCTTCCAGAGGAGCTGCAGTCATTCGGCTGCTACTCCTGAAGTCTGGCGACGACGTGTCAAACGCGCGTCTCCCTCACACCAAAGGAATGTGTCTGATCCGCTTTTCCACCGTCCACCCATCTCCTCTCAGATCAGATGAACCAGCTGCTGACAGGTGGGAACTGAGGACGAAGCAGCATCTCACACTAAACCCCCTCCCTCTCTAATTGGAACACGCCCCTTCCCTCCTCTGGGACCTGTTGCTGCTGTTGTCGTCTCTCTCGGGGGGCCGTCTGATTGGCTGGAGATGTTTATCAGTCGTTATCTCTACGCCGCTCATCATCGGCTCGTTACAGTGACAGGCCACGCCCCCTCCTGACAGACCGTACTGTGGGAAAACAGCCAGCTCTATGACTGAGACTGACTCTGCAGATTCATAAACAAAAAGATGTGGGAGGAGTCACAGAGCGCAGGAACAGATTTTACCCATAAGCCATCACTCTGAGGAACCGGGAGCTCCAGACACAAGAACATCCACCTGTATTCTCCCAGCATCCTTTGCTCTCCACAGATCTCATCCACAATCAAGGGCGTGACTGTGTATCTGTGGATCACCATGTGCGGGGCTCTGGGGTCAGGGTCACCCTCCGCCAGGTCCTTTTGAGCATTAAACTGGTCATTTTCTGCTCCAATTCACGGTGGAAAAGTCTGTTTTTTGGATGAGGGAAACTTTTCTGCAGTGCACGTTTCCTTCTTGTGCAAACAAACCTTTTCTCAAAACATTTTCATTGGTTAGTTAACATTTCTTGGTGCTGTTTTTCAGAATAGTTTCAACAAATGCTTTCAAAACGTGGAGCGTAAATGTCCACAATCATTCGTACATCCTCAATATCTGCACACACACATTTCCTCCAGCATCCCACACTGCTGTTCATCTGTAGTCTGTGTTGACACATGTACAATGTGAACTCCTACCCGACTCGTGAAGCTGGTTCTGGTTCTTGTGGTATTGTTGTGGGCTGTGATCTCTGTCTGCCGCTGCCTGGCCCAGCTCGCCCTGATCACTGATCTCAGCCAGTCTTACCCCGTTAAATAAAAAAGAAAACAATCGTTTGGAGTCTACACATAACATTCTGCTATACGCTGATGACATTTTGTGGCTTGCCTGAGATCAGCCAGATCTGTCCCAGCACTGTTGGACGTTATTGAGACGTTCTCCAAGATATCAAGGTGTAAAGTGAACTGGTCTAAGTCAGAGGCCCTACCGCTGACCTCATACTGCCCAAAAACTTTATTTCAGGCGGGGCTGTTTCAGTGGACTACTGAAGGTATAAAATATCTCGGCATTCTCTTCCCTCACCAAATTGATAAAATACTCGAAAAGAATTTGGACCCCCTTTTTAAGAAAATTTCATTAGCTACAGATAGATGGTCACCACTATTCTTATCATTATGGGTAACGGTCAACGTCCTGAAGATGAACTGTATCCCGAGGTTGAATTATTTGCTTCAATGCCTTCCTATAATACCCCAAAAGTACTTTAAAAGTTTTTATGGAATGGTAAATGTGCAGGGATGAAATGAGAAAGGCTTCAGGTGCCAGTCAATAAGGTTGGCATGGGCCTCCCCAAATTAGCCCTGTATCACTGAGCCTTCTGCCTGAGACATATCGCTCAGTGGACATGAGGGCCCCTCCCTGGTGGCCCCTGGTTTGAGATTGAACGGAGATTGTTCTCCCCACTTACCCCTAGAAATGCTCTGTCTAGCAATATACCCTCTGAATTAAAATCTCACCCCATCATACCCAAATCTCTGATGTGTGGAAGAAGTTTGCTAAAGCTTTTAATATCGATGTACATCTGAATTCTGAATCTTGTATGTGGAATAACTCAAAGTTACATATTAATAAACATCCCCTCTGTGGAAAGATGGTAGAAAAAGGAATTATTACACTAGCAAACATATATGATAGAGACAATATAAAGTCATTTGAAAGGTTGGCTGATTAATACAATCTACCCAGAAATAACCTCTGGAAGTATTTACAAATGCGCCACCTGCTAGTTACTGCCCCGGGGGGGCGAAAAAATCTCTTTCAACATCAATGGCAGGGCAGAAAAATATGTGAGGAAATGGGGAAAACACGTGCAATATTTTGCAACCAGATGAGAACGTGCTGCTTATTGTAAAACTGTACATTAGATCCATGCGTTTGTTTTTTCTTTGTTTATTTTTTTCTGATTTCTATTACCTCTTCTGCTCTAAACATTTTAGATTTGTATTTTTATTTCTTCTTTTTGTCCAAAAATGTATCATCACTATGTAATATATGTTGAGAGTCAACTGTAATGGTGATGCAACAGTGGTGTTCAAAACTCAATAAAATACTAAGAAAACAATCGTTTGGCCAGAATTGTGAGCATAAAATTGAACAAACTTAGGCTGTTTTTTAATGTTTTCTCCTCGCAATTTCAAAACAGGGACAATTTCTGAATTTAAATCCACCACCAGATAAATGTATTGCACAGATTTTCAGGAAAGTAAACAGAGCGCAGGATCCAGTTTGTCCTTTGTGGTGAATGCAGATGTGGAATAAAGCAGCTGTTAGCAGAAACCTGAGCAGCTCCAGGAGACGTCCTGCACACGTCTCCCTGCTGCAGCCGGCCGTCTCTGTTCCTGTCTTCTTCTTGTCCCGCTGGATTTAAAATGCATTGCCTGCATCTCTGCACATCTTAAGTTGTCTGAAACGGGTCAGAACACAGAGCGTCTGGGGCCTCGGGGGGCCTCGGGGGGCCCACGCTGACCCCTGTCCACTGATGAAAGCGCCTGCAATGAGCTCGTGAGCATCAGAACTGGACCACAGAGCAATGCAAGAAGGTGGCCCGGTCTGACGTAGCACGCTTTCTTCACCGGAGGGCCGGGTGCGTGCGATTCGCTTATCTGGGGGAAACACACGGCACCGCGATGCATTATGGGAAGAAGTCAGTGTGATGCTCTGGACCTTGGAAACCTTGGGTGCTGCCGGTCACGTGGATGTTACTTTGACGCGTAGCATTGGTCTACAGCGAACCAAGGTTCGAGTCCCGAGGCCGCCGTCATGGAAACGGTGTTGGCCTCCTGATCTCAATCTAATCCGGCGTCTGTGGGACGTGCTGGACCGACAAGGCCGAACCACAGAGGCCCCACCTCTCAACTTCTCCCCTCCTGCGCAGCCTGAAGCGGCCGTCTGACATTTCCTCGTTCATCCGGTCGATATCAAGGCACGTACACGAACGCGTTCACCTGCAGAAGTTTACGTTCGTTACCCAAACATGATCTTCATCAATGATCTCCGGACAGCGTGGATTTCTCCTCAGCACAGGCTACACGGCGCCAGCAGAAACATTTACGTTTCCTCCCAGCATGCAGCTGGGTGGGTTCTGTCCTTCAGGATCCTTTGGGCTCTGCAGGCTCCTCGCCGACATCACTCTGGAGACGATCTTCTGTTCGACTCCCCGCTGCAGAGCGCTCCGGTCCTGACCCGGCATCATGTTCGTGATGTTTCCATCAGGATGTTTTCTGTTTTCAATACATTTCAATAAATGGCCTAAAAAACGAGTAATATTTTATTATTTAAAATAGACGTCTAAAAGTTCACAGTCAGTTTGGACACAGACAAACTTTCCAGCAGCTGCCTACGGGTCGGACTGCGGTCTGAGTAAACTGCGTCTTACCTGTTGGATTTGGCGTTTTGTGCCGTCAGCTTCCAGCTGTGGCTATAAATAAATTAAAATATCAAATGTAATAAAGACTTTCATTGAGGGAAGTCAGGTCTGCTGTGCTGAATCAGCGGACTAATTAATATTGTTAAAGTTCCTCCACTTTTTTTTAAATGACACTCATTTTTAAGCTCCACCCCATTAAAATGGAGGCTCTGCCTTCATCTACCCGTTGCCATGGTGAATCGTAGTATCGGCGCTCCATTGATGAGGCTTTTTCCATCCGCACGCTTCCAGCAGGATCGACACACTCACAATGTTGTGCAGGTGGTCATAACGTCACGGCTGATCGGTGTATTAACGCGTGAACGTAAACGCTCAGATGCTTCCCGTTTCTCTTCTGTTCATGTTCACAACATACAAACATTTACGACAGACGACGCGAGTCTCCAGAGTTTTTAGATAAAAAGTGATTTAATCTGTTTTCCCCCCCGCTGTGACACAATCAGTGTAAAGGCTCAGAACCACACGTTAATCAAAATATACATGATTGATCAGATATAAAACCACCAATCAGCTCTCAGACACGTAACTGTGGTATAAAACACGTATGTACACTGCAACCCCCCCCCGCTACTGAAGACTGGTCCCACTCCTGCCTCACCTGACGCTGAAGGTCTGTGATGCATTCAAGTCAACTGGGGAAACCCCGTCCTCCCCGCAGTGATGGACGACGCCTTGTCGCGTCCGTCTTTGACGACCGACGCAAACTTCTGAAAGGATAATTAATAAAAGCGCCTCTTACGAGGAACTCGTTCACGTCACCTGGCGACGACGACGACACCTGGGAGGAGTCAACCTGCTCACGCCACGTGATGAGGAGCGCTCGTTTCTGTTCACGTTAGACGAACCGTACAGGGAGTGACCTCGTGTGTAAACCACGCGCACAGAGCTACAGCTTGACGAGTGTGAACGCAGCGTTACGAGTTCAACTTGTGCGATAGGAGTCCTGGTCTGGGGGACGGTCTTGTGTCCGAGCCGTCCAGCTGGCGGCCGACTTGGGGGAGGGGTTACTGACACGCGGGAGACGGCCAGAGTTTTGGTCCTTCCTCACAGAGCCGCATCAACATTTGCTTCTTTCTAGAAGCCAGATCACAGCTTGGAAAAACGTTTTAAAGGAAAAGTTTGAGTCTGGCGACACGTTGAATCAGAACGAGACACAATCACGTACTTGAGACCTTTTTACATCTCACGATAATCACAAGTGGTTCGATCTGCTCCGTCTTTCATTTAATCGCAGCTGCGGCCAATCGGAGTTTTCCCCACGTCTCTGACGATGTTTAACTTTCAGACGGCGAGGAGGATTAAAGATCTGCCCGACGTGCGACGGACGCCTCCGAGTCTCTGGACTGAGGCGGGACTTCTGGTCTGTTTGGTCAGGAAGTGAAGGAGGACGAGCCGGACCTGAACCTCCCAGGCGTCTTTGAATGCACCGAACCTTCAGCAGCTCGTTCAGACGGTGAAGGAGCTTCAGGTGGACGTCTGAGCGGCTGGAATGTCGACATAATAATATTAAGACACAGATAAACCGAACCAGCGCCGCGTGGTTTCGGTACATTTCATCTCCGAATAAAGAGGAATTAATACCTGATGTACGACTCGGCGCTGCGGCGAAGGCACTCCACATTACATCCGACGTCGCACCGGTGGGCTGGATCCAGTGAAAACACTCCCACAGGAAAACACCAACAAAGCCTGAACCAGGTCTTTTGTCTTTTAAGTCCTTAAAACCACAAACCTGAGGCAGGCGGATTTGTTTGCATCTAGAAGGCCGTTTTTGGTTTCAGCTGTAGTGGATCACAAACTTATAAATAAAACCGTTGAGAGCGGCGACGGACGAGACACGTGATTCACAAGAAGACGCGAGTAACAGAGCGGTTCGTCGAAGGCGGCGGAGCAGCGAGAGGAACCGCCAACACACCAAAAAACCCAACAAATAAAAAGGAATGATTAAAATATTGCTACGATAATCTGATTTGAATAAAACTCGATTGTATACATGGAAATAAAGAAATCAAAAAGGAACAGAAGAGAGAATCTACGAGTGAAGACCCAGCAGAGCGCTGAAACCGTTCACACGTCTGACGCTAACCAGCAGTACAAAACACGGATATATCTGCAATACAGCTCAGCAACTGTAAACCTGCTCTTTGCCAATTTACAGAGGCATGATGGGAGATTTGTGTTACACGACTCCAGGAATAAGGCACGGGGATCATCTGAAGGCCAAACATCCGACCGCTCGGGAGCTAATCCGTGACTTCCCAAACGCTGTCGTGTTTTAAAGACGTTACTTCAAAAAGGGGGAAACTTCAGAGACGAGGATCAGGAGCACAGAGAAACGAGTCTGAAGCGTCAGTCAGTTCTTGATTCATTCTTAAAATCCTGACACTCAGAACTCGGTTTCTTTAAATGACCCTGATGCTCCTCGAAGGCAGAGAATAAAACATGTTTTAAAAAATAATTTAACATCACACCAGACTTCACGGCGGTTTCTGCAGACTGGAATGATGGGAGTGTAGTGGACACCAAGTCCGCTCTCAGGCGAGCGAGGAGGATTCAGACGGTGAAGTCTGAGGCTCAGATGGAGGACTTGGAGAAGGAGACCCGTAGGTGGTGGTTCTCGCCCAGGTCGTGGTTGTGGAACTCGATGAGGGACTCGATGGCCTCCTCCACTGAGCCCATCTGGATCAGAGCCATCTTGTGGTCCTTCCTGCGGGAGAAACCAACCAGAGGCCGTCAGAGTCTGATGCATGCAGGGGTAACGCTGGCTGCATCAATCATGACCGCCGCTACTAAACTTTCCCACCATCATTAAACTACTCGCTCCAAATGTTTTCACTGGCACACTGTGGCAGCGCTCGGCTCGCTCCCTCCCCTCGCTCCCTCCCCTCGCTCCCTCCCCTCGCACATTAGCTCAGTTCATAGAGAGTCACTGGAAGCTGGATTTTATCACTGCCGACCCTTAATGTGTTGAACATCAGGTACAAACCGGTGCAGCCTGCAGCTCCGTCCTGCTCAGACTGGTTCAGTCAGGTTTCAGTCGGGAAAAGAGAGGACGGAGGTGACCGGAGGAGCTCGGGTTAGTGAAGCTAATCAGTGAAGCAAACTCGTCCTTATGAGCTGATGAGGAGACGTTTCTGTTTTAATGGGGAAATGAAATGCAGCTCAGAAGGGAGGAGGTTTCTCATGCTGCCTGTTTTTATATTAATCTGTACAGATAAATGTCAGGAGCTGTAAAATGAAGACACAAAAACATGAACGATCGTATCTGTAATGATTCTGAGCAGCATCAGAACCAAATTACTTTTTGTAGTTCCTCCCCGGCAGACTGATCTTTATTATCTGCTCCAGCTTTTCCAACTCTATAACGGCCCTATATGATGAGAAATTATATTTATCATTAGAAAACAAATGGACCCCCAAACTCCCCATGATGGCCGACACCAAAACATTCATTAAAGCTCACATTAAACTGGGAAAGCAGTGACAGTGTAAACTATTCTGAGGTGCAGCTCCATCCTAGAGGAAACACTGACGGGGATCTCATAAGGTCACGTGATCACACGTCACAGGGGCCTCAGGGTAAGGCTGCGGGGACAGATGAGGGCTTCAGGGGCCTCGGGACAAAAGTTTAGGGAAAAGCAGAAAGAGTTCAGGACAAGAGTGACATGAAGGCTCGTAACAAGACTGAAGGCTTCAGGAAGGATCAGGGTTTTAGGGAACAGAGTAAAGTTCCAGAGCAGCATGAAGTGAGAGCCGCAGGGACTTCAAGACAAAGGGTTCCTTGACTTTGGGGTAAAGACATGAGGACTGGGGGCACAAACAGACGCAACACCTGCAAGAGAGCGGGGACGACAGGAAATCAGTTTGACTCACTGGAAGAACTTGAAGGCCTTGACCGTGGCTCCTGAGCTGGAGAACAGCATCTTCAGGTCGTCCTCCACCACAGACGGGCTGCAAACACAAGAACAGCGTCAGCACTGAAGGCCTGAGCGGAGCGCGAGGCGGCCCCTCGGCGTGGACTGCAGGTGTTCAGGACTCACGGGATGTTGGAGAGGTGTAAGGTGGCAGAAGGAGGGAAGATGTTGGAGTAGTTTTTGGAGCCGGGCTTCTTGAAGCGGTGCAGGGGGAGTTGCTGTAGTCTTTGGTCAGGCCCTGGTCCTCGTGGCCTTCACGGGGAAGCTGGACGCTGGTGTGTTTGGACAGCGTGATGCGCAGAGACTTCCCGTGCAGCTGCTGGCCGCTCAGGTGACTCATGGCTGCAAAGCAGGCAGGGGAAGAACGCTGCTCAAGTTTCTGACTGCGTTTGTTATTTCAGAAAGCAAAGTGCGTTACGGCACCTGGAAACGTATAAAACCTAACTGAGTCTTTCTTTCACCTGCAGGTGAAACTTTATTCTCTGAAGACACATCGCTGCTACACTTTACTGCGTCTTCTGAATCTCCACATCACGAGCATATAAAACTAAATACTAACGCCCGTTATAACGAGGGCCGGGTGATTTATTAATATTAAATAGCACTTATTTTTCTATTACAATATTTATTTTGTATAAAAGGGACCGATTTAATCATCTTTCGTTGGTAAATAAATAAATCTTTAAAACCACATCAAGTTTCACTCAGGAACAGAAATCACTGACATTTATCCTGATAATTATAGTTTCTTGGTTATAACCTGAATGTTTCAATAATCAGGTTGTTAAACTGCTGCCAGCTGTTCTTACTGGGGATCAAACGTTTGGAACGATAAACTGGGGTTCTTCTTACCGTACACAGTTTCATTCCCATGATAACCGGGTTCTGTTGCCGCGCTATTATAAACTCACGGCAAACACTGTCCAGCATCAGCCCAAGTTAGCGACCGCCTCCCAGAAGCAGGCGTAGTTTGCAGCGTGGGTGGGTTTGTTTGGGTCGATGACGACACGGCGGCGCTGCGGAGACTTTTCAGTCGCTCTGAAGTCTGGTCCTATTTTAGTGTTTATGAGAGCGCTTACAGCGAACGCAGGGCGAGTTAGCTTCTAGCTTCGGGTCGTCTGTCTGACAGCTTGTGAACTCTGTGTTGCTGCACGCTGTTCTGCCGCTGCGTCCGCTGCACGTGAACACGTTACGCAGTTCAGTCCACAGCCAGCGTCTCTCGTTCCTTTTAAATCCAGCAGCTGTCACGTTAGCTGTCAGAACAGGAGAAACGCTGCAGGCTGCTCTGTGTTTTCTTTTTATTGATAACTTACACTGTAACTTTTACTGTCCTGTTTTCTTTTTCTTTGTTTTTAGCTTTTTATTATTTTCCATTTAACTCTTTTAACCCTGATTGTAACACTAACTTTTATTATATTTTATGTTGCTTTTAAACTTTTACATATTTCTGTTGCTTTTATGTTTTACGTAAAGCACTTTGAATTAGCTTGTTGTTATAATGTGCTATACAAATAAACTTGCCTTAAAGGCCTTTTCACACGCCGCGCCTGCGCAGTCCCCTGGCCCCGCGGGGTCGCTCTGAGACGAGCACGCCCACATCGCTTTCACGGGAACACGCCCACTTGTCGCTACGCCTGTCGCAATGTCGGCGTAGATCGCTTCCCGTGTGAAAAGGCCTTAAGTCAGTCTGTGAGTGAGAGAACGTTATTCTAGCGACTAAATGTTCTTCTTCTACAATCGGCCCAATATGATGATGTACATGTGTTCATGATGTTTGTTCGTTTACGGATTCATTTTAAAATGTAGGAAACTTGACTGTTTTGATCTGTAATGAAATTAAGCAGCTGTTAAATGAATAAAGCTTAACTGCCACACTGCTCTCACTTCATTTAGTTTTCCCTTTGATGTGAACTGAAGCGCTCAGTTCACCGCTGTCAGCGCGAAAAAACCCTCAATAATTGAATCTCAAAATTAAAAATCGAATGTGTAGCCAACGGTCCAGCTCTAGGGCTCCTTGCAGTACCTTTTTTCATTCATTTACTAAAAGGTATTGGCTGTTATTTTAATGTTTATGCAAACAAAAAGGTCATTTTATTGTCTGTTGAAATGGTTTCAGTACATTTTAGTTTCACGTTAATACCGTTTCCTCCCTAGTTCTCACCAGCGTCTGAAGTGGAACCTGGATTCTTATATTTCCTATTTAGGTGGAAACGTTTTCATCGATTTGAAAGCTTTCAGTAAAAGAAGATGTAACAAAGGGCCCGGGGCCAGAATCCAACTGGGGACCCTGATCACAGAATGTGGCATCAGACAGAAAAGAGGCGTCCTGTCCGTGGAGCCCACTGAGCACGTGCGACAGGTTACCTAGCTGAGCCTGTGTGCTGTCAGACATCTGAACCAGAGCGTTCTCCTTCTTGTTGAACAGGATCTTCACTCTCATCACGTCGCCGTAAACACCTGTACACACAGCCAGAGACAAACAACGTGTTAAACTCCAGCTGCACAGGAAGTGACACACAGACAGGAGGACCTACGCGTAAAGCTCAGCACGTTAAACGCTACAGGACGCCGTGTGTGTGACTGCGGCTTGCCAAGCCACTGACCCTTAGACTAACGGCCAAATCAGTTAACTGAGATCCTCAGAGCGCTGAAGGAAAAGCAGCAGCAGCGCTGAGCTGTGGGAACTGAGCTGAGCTTCATGTCCAAGGCAGGAACTTTCTGAATGTTATAAACAGGAAACGCAGTGAGGAAATTAAGGGTCAGAGAAAATTAAAATGGCAGATTACACCGTGTAGGAGCTATGAATTATGGGAGCAGCTGATTCAGCACTGAGGACATGCAAACTGACAGAAACCCGGCATGCAAACTCAAAACTTTTACTGAAATAAGATGAAACACAATGAATGCAGCTTCGGGTTCAACCAGCGGGACGACCCGAGAACGCCTCCGACTTCAGTTTGTGCTGCTCACGGCGATGAAAGGTAACGTTAAAGCCAACTCACCACTGCGCTGTGGTTTTAAAACCGAGACCTTCTGCTGCGTTTCTACCTCCCGTCCAGACTAAAAACGGAGAATCCTCAAACGCTGAAGTTTGAAAACGCCGCAGACCCCGTTTAGGTTTTAAACTCCGGGGTAGCTTTTCGGTCTACCGGCCCAACGTTTTCAAAAAGTCCCGCAGAGAATCTCCAGAACACACTGAGAACATTCCTTACTGGATCCATCTGGATTCAGCTTTCAACATTAATGACAAACTGTTTTTGGGTGAGATCTGTATTTTTTTTCTCCTCGATTTGGACTCCTGACACGAGGGGATCATAACATGCACATGCTAAAAATAAGAAGCAAATAAATGTTATGATTCTTTTAAAAAAAGAGGAGAGATTAAAGATTCAGATTTGATTTCTCCAGAGACAGATTTCATCAGACAGGAACCAGCTGCCAGAAAACCAACCCAGAATAGCAGAACGTGTCAAAGCTGCGAGCCGCACAAACTGTGATGAAGCCTCAGAGACGCAAACCTCCAGACGTGGAAACAGCTGGAGGGAAACCGATGTGGGAGGACTGAACCTCCTCAAGGACGACCGCTCAGAAATGCAAACTTGATTTTATTTTTGACAGTAAGTGAAAACAAATGTTCCGCAGCCTGTTGCAGCAGCTGTGTGTAAGTTCAAACAAAGCCTGGTTATAATGTAAATTATTACGGAGACCCCGTGTCCACCAGAGCGTTTCTAACCAGCTGCAAACGTCTCGCTGGGAGCGCCAGGGCGCAGCGTTTTCTCCGGCTGAGACGCTGCGGTTGCTATGATACATTATGTATCCGTGGAGGCGATGTGCTGCAAAAGTAGGCGATCTAATTTCACTGAACGTAAAAATGTCACCACTGAGAACGGGAGGCCACGCCCAGCGCAGACTGGCATGAAGTTTCAGTTCAAACATATTTCCAAAGCAGAAAGTCAAATAAACAATAAAATAAAAAGAAACTGATCTGTGATTGGCCACTTGGCCTTAGTTACGACTTTATGTCTAAAGTGGTTAAGTCTCGCCTCAAGCAATCGTGGCGTGGCGAACTTTAGTAGCGGATTTAGTTAAAAACTAACTCGTGCTTCCACACAGCTGCAGCCGTTTGGGTTTCTGATTCTTATCTTCTTAAACGTGGAGACGTCAACGGGACTCAAAATTATTTCCTCTTTTACATCATGAATTTATTTATTCATGCACTTTAAAATAGCCTAAAAACATTTCCCATATCTTTAAAATGTATTGCTCATTGTTCAATACGGTGTTTTGTCCACAGAGTCTGGCGTAGTTTGAGGAGAAGCTGCAAATATTGTGATTAAAGCTCAAATCAACAGGCAGAAATCTGACAAAACCAGCAGACACTCGTTCTTCATTAAAAACCAAGTCAAGAGGAAAAACAAACTTTGATGATCAAAATAAGAAGCTAGTGACAACGTACCGAAGAGAATAAAGAGGCAGTGGGGCGTAACTCTCTTTAAAGACAGCAGAGAAGGCAGCGGAGGGACAGGACAGGTAAAGGTGGGAGGGCAGGACAGGTGGAGGGTCCGAGGCGTTTCCATGGCAACAAATTAAAAAGGGGAGAAAACAAACAGACAGGTGAGGGGTCAATCAGAAGGTTAATTACCTTTGGAGGGGAGGGAACATGTTCAAACATGACTGCACAGGTGTGTGTGTGTGACAACAGGGTTTAACGTGAGGTCATCAAAACATTACAGGAAGTCAAAAATCTGAAAACACATCATCAATCAGAAAATCACACAGCCAATCAAACGGCACGGTGGGGCTGTTGTTCACTCAGGTGTGACGCAGAGAGAGAGAGTTCAGACCACGAAGATTTCTGCCAGCCTTTGTTGACCTCTGAGTCACCAGCTGTCTGCAGGTATCAGGCTGAAGCCAAACTGTTTTCTGTCCGAGCAGGAACCTCCGGGTCTGAGAAGTGAAGCCCTTAAACCTGCGTCCTCTCCAGCAGCCAGCAGGGGGCGACTCTACAGAAGTCTGGGAGAAAATGTTTCTACTTGTCAGCTGATTTATTCCCTCACACTTCTCCCGCCAGGCGTTGATCTCAGCTCACAGTAAGCTCACGCAGGCAGAATGTGTCGACGCCGTTTTTATACCCCGCCCCTGCAGTCACCTGCAGCTCACGTTAAGACTATCAAACGCAACCAATATCGCAGCTAACGTGAATTAACCAAGCTAGCTGGCTCCACCCTCTCGACCAAATACGGTCACGTCTGGTTCCAAAAAATGTACATGGCTCAGTACACAGTGTGAATAACCTGTAGTGTTTTAAAGACGCATAAGAAAAGTGGTCCTCCAGGTTTTAGTCTATTTGTGTAAAAGAAAAAAAATGAATAAAACTGAATTGTCCACGAAAGCGGCCGACCTGGTGGCGTCACCTGGTAACCAGCTACAAACAGCGGCGCCAGCAGCCGGGTGACGTTTACATACAGGCGTCTGCTGCTGGACTTTATTCTACTTGCTGTGCTGACAGAATAAAAAGGTTTGGTTTATGTAGAAATATACCAGCAGTCAAAAGTTTAGACACACAGAGAAATGTCCTCGTCTTCGCCATGAAAATACCATCAGACTGATCAGAAACAGAGTGGACATTGTTAATGCTGGTTTTTAACGGAGGCCCGTTCTCAGACACCATCAGCCCTGCGATCCACAGTGCGTTTGCTAATGAAAGTTGATCAATTTAAAAGGAGAACTGAAAATTAGAAAACCCTTTTGCAATTAAAGATGATCTATAGAACTGGCCTCCTTTAGGCCAGATGAGTATCTGGAGCATCAGCAGCTGTTTGTTCATCAGAGGCTCGAAAGGTCCAGAAACAAAGAACTTTCTCCTGAAACACGACGGTCTGTTCTTGTTCTGAGAAATGAAGCCATCCCATGAGAGAAACTGCCAAACAAGAGGAGATAAGAAATTCCTTTCATAGAACACTGACAATGTCCACGTTGTGTTTCTGATCGATCTGACGTTATTTAATGGCTTTTCATTCTAAACGTGGTCCAAACGTTTGACTAAGAATATAAACATTAGGCTGTAAATCAAACAACAGTTTCATCCAACCAAACTTAAAGCGTCATAAAGGCCTTCAGACGTCCTGCTGCATGACGTCCTGACGGTGGATTTAGAGACGCAGAGTAAAGGACCCACCTCGGGGTTCAGGTTGCTGATCAGTAGGACACAGACTCCAGCGGGGAGGTGGGGGAATCCCAGCCTGGTGGCCCCGGGGAGGGACAGAGAGGCCAGGCCTCCGGGCAGAGTGGGGACCGTCAGGCCTGGATAGGGGAAGGACACTGGGAGGGGTGAGACGAGTAAACAACAATCCAAACACTGCAGGACAAACACAGCAAAACAACAATCCAGACTCAAACGATAACCTGCTTCTTCAAACACACCTGAGGGCTGATTACACCGTTTACAGCTGCTGCACAACAGGCGTTAAATTCAACCAGCTGAAATATGTTTTAACTTCAATATCTCACAAAGAAACTGACAGATTCATTTAACAGCAACGTGTGGCTGGCGGGTTTCAGATCACGTATCGAGTGCTATCATGTGACGTCAGAATGACGTCATTCTTTTGGTATCCATGTAAACATGCTGCGGCGGTCTGACTGGATCCCGACAGGTGAGACTCACTTGCAGGTTGGAGGGTGAAGGTCGGTGGGAAGGCGTGGGTGGCTCCGCCGTACGGAGAGGCTGAGATGATACCTGGACCTGCAGAGAAGAAACAACACCCGAGTTACAGGTTTACCTCCCACTCCGAGAAACCAGACGACTCTTTGCTTTCCTGACACTTCCTGTCCTTCAGAAGTCAAACTGCATGATGATGCGTCTCAGGCTGGTGCGTCGACATAATCGATTACGTAAATACGTTGACGCGCATTCCGTGCGTCGCTGCATCCGGTGTGGGATTCCCCCGGACAAGCTCCAGCTACAAGACTGCGTGTTCGACCGTCTAAAGTTTGGGAGTATTTCAGACAGACACTTAACCACGAACACGTGAAACAAACGTGGCACTTTGTCTAGACGGCAGCACCGCAAATCGCGTTTACCTTTCTGTCGCCACACAAGCACGGCACATTATCAGCACGAGGACACGTAGTCCGTTAAAATGTTTACTGCCTTCATGTTAAAAGTCATTTCTGCCCCGCTGCTGTCATGGTAACGTAACACCGCGAGTCATCTAACGTTCGGCCGTTTCATATTTTCTGTTTATTTAACGGCCACGTCTGAGCGAGAAAACAGCTGAAACTAACAGTACAGACGATCTGTGACTGAGTCCTTTCAGGTGGTCACTGATGCAGAAATACATCTTATCATCATACTGCGTTACTTAATATTGAAGTGAATCCATGTCAGAAACATTTAAAGTTTTAAGAAAAGCAGCCTAATTAGTCAGTGACGTGGAAATTTGATTCATTTCGAGATTTACTGCTATTGTCATTCTAATGTGCTTCATCAGGATGATTGAATAAAATACAGATTTATTGATTAGACATGTTTTGGATAAATTGGTTTGTTAATCGAGTAACAGGCAACTTTTCTTTCTTTAGAATAAACTAAATTGGTCGTTAGATTAATGGACTAGATGCGTCACACTGGGCAATTAAACAATTATGATGTTATCGCGATATAATTTTCCTCAATAATAAAATTATAAATGTAAAATGATTAACTATCTTCCTATGAGGATATTTATTTAGCTGAGGAAACAGATGTTACAGAAGGCCTGATATAAACACAGGTGAAGTGACAGACTTGAACGAGTCTGCGGTGTCGCTCAGTCACATCTCTATAACCCGTGTGCTGCGGGGCTGCGGTGGAAGTCGTGGGGTCTTACTGAAGGCTGCAGCCATGGCCTGGTGCTCCATGGTGGGCTGGCTGTCTCCAGAGGGAAGGTCAGGTCTGGTGAAGTCGCGGCTCTTCTCGTTGTTGTATTTGACGTTGAGGCTGCTGAGTTTGGAGAAGCTGATCCTCAGAGTGCAGCAGCCGTTATAGATGTTCTGCCCGTCCAGAGACTGAGACACAGACAGACAGACCGTCGTCAGTCCAGACAGACAGACCGACAGACCGTCGTCGGTCCAGACCGTCAGACCGTCGTCGGTCCAGACAGACAGACCGACAGACCGTCGTCGGTCCAGACCGTCGTCAGTCAACAGACAGACAGACCGACAGACCGTCGTCGGTCCAGACCGTCGTCAGTCAACAGACAGACAGACCGACAGACCGTCGTCGGTCCAGACCGTCGTCAGTCAACAGACAGACAGACAGACCGTCGTCGGTCCAGACCGTCGTCGGTCCAGACCGTCGTCAGTCAACAGACCGTCGTCAGTCAACAGACAGACAGACCGTCGTCAGTCCAGACCGTCGTCAGTCCAGACCGTCGTCAGTCCAGACCGTCGTCAGTCCAGACCGTCGTCAGTCCAGACCGTCGTCAGTCCACAGACAGACAGACAGACCGTCGTCAGTCCACAGACAGACAGACAGGCCGTCGTCAGTCAACAGACAGACAGACAGGCCGTCGTCAGTCAACAGACAGACAGACAGGCCGTCGTCAGTCAACAGACAGACAGACAGGCCGTCGTCAGTCAACAGACAGACAGACAGGCCGTCGTCAGTCAACAGACAGACAGACAGGCCGTCGTCAGTCAACAGACAGACAGACAGGCCGTCGTCAGTCAACAGACAGACAGACCGTCGTCAGTCAACAGACTGACAGACCGTCGTCAGTCAACAGACAGACAGACAGCCAGACAGACAGACCGTCGTCGGTCCAGACAGACAGACAGACCGTCGTCGGTCCAGACAGACAGACAGACCGTCGTCAGTCCAGACCGTCGTCAGTCAACAGACAGACAGACCGTCGTCGGTCCAGACAGACAGACCGTCGTCGGTCCAGACAGACAGACAGACCGTCGTCAGTCCAGACCGTCGTCAGTCAACAGACAGACAGACCGACAGACCGTCGTCGGTCCAGACAGACAGACCGTCGTCAGTCCAGACCGACAGACCGTCGTCAGTCCAGACCGTCGTCAGTCAACAGACAGACAGACCGACAGACCGTCGTCAGTCAACAGACAGACAGACCGACAGACCGTCGTCGGTCCAGACAGACAGACCGACAGACCGTCGTCGGTCCAGACCGTCGTCAGTCCAGACCGTCGTCAGTCAACAGACAGACAGACAGACCGTCGTCGGTCCAGACAGACAGACCGTCGTCGGTCCAGACCGTCGTCAGTCAACAGACAGACAGACCGTCGTCAGTCCAGACCGTCGTCAGTCAACAGACAGACAGACAGACCGTCGTCGGTCCAGACAGACAGACCGTCGTCGGTCCAGACAGACAGACCGTCGTCGGTCCAGACCGTCGTCAGTCAACAGACAGACAGACCGTCGTCGGTCCAGACCGTCGTCAGTCAACAGACAGACAGACCGTCGTCGGTCCAGACCGTCGTCAGTCAACAGACAGACAGACCGTCGTCAGTCCAGACAGACCGTCGTCAGTCAACAGACAGACAGACCGTCGTCAGTCCAGACAGACCGTCGTCAGTCCAGACAGACCGTCGTCAGTCAACAGACAGACAGACCGTCGTCAGTCCAGACAGACCGTCGTCAGTCCAGACCGACCGTCGTCAGTCCAGACCGACCGTCGTCAGTCCAGACCGACCGTCGTCAGTCCAGACCGTCGTCAGTCAACAGACAGACAGACCGTCGTCAGTCCAGACCGTCGTCAGTCCAGACAGTCGTCAGTCCAGACCGTCGTCAGTCCAGACCGTCGTCAGTCCAGACCGTCGTCAGTCCAGACAGTCGTCAGTCCAGACAGTCGTCAGTCCAGACCGTCGTCAGTCCAGACCGTCGTCAGTCCAGACCGTCGTCAGTCCAGACAGTCGTCAGTCCAGACAGTCGTCAGTCCAGACCGTCGTCAGTCCAGACCGTCGTCAGTCCAGACCGTCGTCAGTCCAGACCGTCGTCAGTCAACAGACAGACAGACCGTCGTCAGTCCAGACCGTCGTCAGTCAACAGACAGACAGACCGTCGTCAGTCCAGACCGTCGTCAGTCCAGACCGTCGTCAGTCCACAGACAGACAGACAGACCGTCGTCAGTCCACAGACAGACAGACAGACCGTCGTCAGTCCACAGACAGACAGACAGACCGTCGTCAGTCCACAGACAGACAGACAGACCGTCGTCAGTCAACAGACAGACAGACCGTCGTCAGTCAACAGACAGACAGACCGTCGTCAGTCAACAGACAGACAGACAGTCATCAGTCAACAGACAGACAGACAGTCATCAGTCAACAGACAGACAGACAGACAGACAGACAGACCGTCGTCAGTACAGACAGTCGTTCGACATACGGTCAACAGACAGACCTGCTGTCTCCAGTACAGCGTGATGCTCACCAGTTTGGCGGCCTGGGCGGACGCCCCGTCTGGATACTGCAGCAGAGCCTGGAACTGGCTGTTCTTGGTGAAGACGATGATCCTCAGCACCGTGCCGAACTTGCCGAAGATCTGAGGACCAGAGAGGAGCTGAACTGATCACAGTGTTGAAGGAAATACAAACCTCTTCCTTCTCTGAGAGACAGATGGTCAGATTGATACTTTAAATATGAAGCTATGGCTAGCAGTTGGTTAGCTTAGCTTAGCATAAAGACTGGGGGGGACGGGATATCCTGGTTCTGTCCAGAGGGAACTACATCCATCTACCTTCATGCAAAAACTTCATTAGCAGGTTGATTTGATTGGCCAGAAGAGAGCGCCTTTCCACTGGCCAATCAGAGACAGACACACCACGGCAGCCTATAGCATGCTGTGGCTTGCTATGCTAACATTCGCCAGTGGTCCAATAGAAATGCAGCTACAACCGAAGCACATTTTTATGCTTTCTTTAGTTGTTGGGCTGAAAACTGCTAACCTACACTCAACACCGTACCTGAACGCATCCTGTGTGGTCACAGACACTGAGCTGCGTTCAAAGCCACATCCAGTTTGACTTTAACCAGCAGCTGCTCGCAAGGTTTTGAGTTTGTTACGTCGTGTTAGCGTTACCTGGCAGAGGGCGTCCAGGGAGACGGGGTAGACCAGGTTCTCCACCACCACCCTCAGAACCGAACTCGGGGCCGGCACAGCCGCATCCACATGAGACGTATTGAGGGCCCGAAGAGCCGCCTGGGCCCTCTGAAAGAAGACGGAGGGTCGGGTGAACACATGCCAACAGAGGCTGGGTTCTGTACATATATATGTGCTAACAGAGGCTAACTCATGCTAACAGTGGCTGGGTTCTGTACATATATATATCTGCTAACAGAGGCTAACACATGCTAACAGAGGCTAACACATGCTAACAGAGGCTAACACATGCTAACAGAGGCTGGGTTCTGTACATATATATCTGCTAACAGAGGCTAACACATGCTAACAGTGGCTGGGTTCTGTACATATATATCTACTAACAGAGGCTAACACATGCTAACAGAGGCTGGGTTCTGTACATATATATCTGCTAACAGAGGCTAACACATGCTAACAGTGGCTGGGTTCTGTACATATATATCTGCTAACAGAGGCTAACACATGCTAACAGAGGCTGGGTTCTGTACATATATATGTGCTAACAGAGGCTAACTCATGCCAACAGTGGCTGGGTTCTGTACATATATATGTGCTAACAGAGGCTAACTCATGCTAACAGTGGCTGGGTTCTGTACATATATATACCTGCTAACAGAGGCTAACACATGCTAACAGAGGCTAACACATGCTAACAGTGGCTGGGTTCTGTACATATATATCTGCTAACAGAGGCTAACACATGCTAACAGTGGCTGGGTTCTGTACATATATATCTGCTAACAGAGGCTAACACATGCTAACAGTGGCTGGGTTCTGTACATATATATCTGCTAACAGAGGCTAACACATGCTAACAGTGGCTGGGTTCTGTACATATATATCTGCTAACAGAGGCTAACACATGCTAACAGAGGCTGGGTTCTGTACATATCTATCTGCTAACAGAGGCTAACACATGCTAACAGTAACGAGTACCTCCTGATTGGGGGAGTTGTCGGTCTTCAGCTCCTTGTGGTTGGAGAACTGGACATAGACCGGTTGGTGCCTGATGACGGGCATCACTGTGGAGTAATAACCCACCATGTTCTGAGCCGCTTCCTCTGAGTTCATCTCTAAGAAGGCCTGCAAGGGCACAGAGGACGGGTCAGGACAGGAGACGAGTCAGGACAAAGGACAGGACACAGAGGACGGGACAGGACACAGAGGACGGGACAGGACACGAGTCAGGACAAAGGATAGGACACGAGTCAGGACAAAGGATAGGACACAGGACACAGAGGACAGGACAGGACACAGAGGACGGGACAGGACAGGAGACGAGTCAGGACAAAGGACAGGACACAGGACACAGAGGACGGGACAGGACACAGAGGACGGGACAGGACAGGAGACAGGTCAGGACAAAGGATAGGACACAGGACGGGTCAGGTCAGGGCACAGGAGACGGGTCAGGACAGGACACAGGTCAGGACAAAGGATAGGACACAGGACGGGTCAGGTCAGGACAAAGGATAGGACACGGGACACAGAGGACAGGACAGGACACAGAGGACGGGACAGGACAGGAGACGAGTCAGGACAAAGGACAGGACACAGGACACAGAGGACGGGACAGGACACAGAGGACGGGACAGGACACGAGTCAGGACAAAGGATAGGACACGAGTCAGGACAAAGGATAGGACACAGGACACAGAGGACAGGACAGGACACAGAGGACGGGACAGGACAGGAGACAGGTCAGGACAAAGGATAGGACACAGGACGGGTCAGGTCAGGGCACAGGAGACGGGTCAGGACAGGACAGGACACAGGACGGGTCAGGTCAGGGCACAGGAGATGGGTCAGGACAGGACACAGGTCAGGACAAAGGATAGGACACAGGACGGGTCAGGTCAGGGCACAGGAGACAGGTCAGGACAGGAGACAGGACAGGACAGGACGAGTGAGGACGGGACCTGGTTCTTGGCTTTGAGCATCAGCAGGTTGGTGACGTCTCCGAAGGGCAGCCCCAGGCTGATGACCTCGGCCTCCGAGATGTCGAGGGGAAGCTTGCGGATGTGGATGACCCTGGACGGCACGCCGGGACCTCTTATGTCCCCTTTGAATTTCTTACTGTCGTTCCCATTGGCTGCAGAGGACAGGAGACAGCAGCAGGGTCAACCCTTTGATTCCTGCACCTCATCAATACATTAGTTCTGTTTTTAATCAGTTATTTATTTATGCATTTAAATTTCATCCTGCAGAACAGGGACCCTCTGCCTCGCTCACAGCCAATCAGAAGCCGTGTGGCTGATGAGGACGCGGGCGATGTCTCACCTGTGGTGCTCATGATAAACGGGCCGTTGGAGACGCTGGAGAAAAGCTCGTCAGATCCTCTCTGCAACAGAGAAATCAGGTTAACCTCCGACATCAGTCCTCAGACACGCTGATCAACAAAACGTTACCAAACCAGCAGTCGGCAAACAACAGGAAGTGAGTCCACCTGAGCGAACACCTGACTGTAACAATGCTGGCTTTCATAAACAAGCTGCCAGGTAATTATCTGATCAGCTGACAAGGACATGTAATCTATCATCCTGTCAGAGGCTGGAAACAGAAAGTCTTGAGACAGAACTTCAAAGATTAAAGGTTTCCTGCTACGCCGCCATCGGCACCTTTAAACACCGTAACGGTATGTTCTGACCCGTCATTTCCCAAACACATCGATAGATTGTTGTAAACAGGGACATGGAAATGTTGGTCTTTATTTGAAAGGCGTCATGTCGAATCATTTTACCCCCCATTCAAGCTGGCGGAGGGGCTAACAGGAAGTTTTTACACTACATCTGCATTCACCAGTCATACACATTCATACACTGAGCCTAAGTGCTCAAACAGAAACTAGCATTCACACTCATTCATATCAAATCGGGGTTCAGTATCTTGCCCAAGGACACTTCGACACGCAACCAGGGGGAGCCAGGGATTGAACCGCCGACCTTCCGATTAACGGCCAACCCGCTCTACCTCCTGAGCCCCAGTTAGCGGAAAGGGCTAAAAGGCAGGAGCGCTTCCACCGGCTGCACACACAAGTCTGTGTGTGGCGGTGGCGTCACTTACTGATGCTTCAGAAATGCTTGTGAAAATGTAGCGTGCCACCAAGCTACTGAGAAATGTAGTGAACTAGGGGACCCGTTATTCTTTTTCATATTTTCTGGCATTTCTATGATGTTACAATGTCAGATGTTCATGTTTAACATGACCACAGCTTCAAACAAACAGTTTTTTCTACTAACAGCAGGTATGATGTCATTCCGAGACGGATTTCAATACATGGTCATTTGCTCCAGGCAGAGAATGCTGGCCACGCCCACAAAGGAACATGGCTCCCTGCAGCAATAAGGCAAAGCTGCGATAGAGGAGGAGTCACAGAACGACATATAGGGCTGGAGATGCAGTAATCCACAGTTCAGATATCAGTTCTTCAAATCGATGCAAATTAGTGCATATTTAATTAGATAATGTCCCATTTGCATATTTTCACATCAAATTTCAGAAAACCTGAAATAAAAAAGAACGTTTCTTAATGTGAGTAATCACATAGGAAAGAGAGTACAGATGGACCCGCCAGCGCCGCCTGCTGGACCAACTGTGTAACAGACAAGACGTTTCCTGTCGAGGCCGCCGATACCTCTGCGATAAACCGAGCTCTACGTTTAATGCCACGCTGCTCTGATCAGACTGACCGATCAATATCAGTCAAAGAAAGGAATAAAGCAGGAGGGGCTTCTGTATCTACTGCGATCCAGAATAAACTACAGAAGACAACAAACGCAAAGAGCGCCCACCACACCTGTACCTGCTTCCCACAATGCATCAGTCATCAGCTCTATATCTGATTGACTGTTCACACCCAACAACAGCTGACTGTTTCACGCGTCACCGCCTCATCAGCACACCACAGCTGCGTCACGCTCACCATTAACTCCAGAAAGCTTCCTGCAGATGTTTCACAATAAAAGCCTTCCTGTTGCTGGGAGGCTTTAAATGTTAAGCAACGTTTTCTGTCGTGTCATCTCACCACTCACGTGCCACCTTAAACACATGAATACTGATTCAGAAGGTGAAGCGCTCCTGTTGTTTTATCTCCTTCCGCTTCGTTTCATCACAACCATTTTAAATCCAGCAGAGCAGAAGAGACGGGAACAGAGACAGAAACCAGAGGGGGAAGGAAAACACAAAGACAGCAGCAGAAATAAGAGCAGATCCACAATCTTTGGCTTCTTTATCTTTCTATAAAGTGTAGTTATCATCATCATCACAGAGGCACAAAGAAAACAAACAGTTCAGCTGCTCGGAGGTGAATATCTGCTGATTTCTGAGTCTTCTGTTCATGATTAGGAACCTGATCCGGTTTCTAGCTGAACAAAAGGAGCTCAGATCTTCTTACAGCTCGTCACATGAATAATACAGCAGTAACTTGAGCCCCCCCCATATCTGTACCTGCCAGCTGCCGAGCGACCAGCCGGCCCGCCGCCAGCCTCGGGCCGAGCGGGAGGACACAGAGCCACAGACAGTCGGCCATCTTCTTTAAAACGCTGCAGCTTAAGCGCTGCTGAACGTTTCAAACTCACAAGAGCTGAAACTTTCAGACGTAATGATGAATGTAATGATATAAATGTAATTCATTATTATTATTATTATGAAAATCTGATATTTTTAATATTCAATTATTTGTTATTTCTCCAAATTATCGCCCTGAACGTCCTGCTGGCCGAGGTGTTTGATGTTGTCCACCGTGGACTGAACGCAGGCTGCGCCGTTAAACTCTTTATTTATTTTGTCAGTTTTACTTGGATTTAGCGTTGATAAAGGATGGGGAGTCTGCACAGGTAGGGTTTTATTTTGAAAGTCGACCAGCCATGTTGAGAAAGGCGAACGTCCTCCTCTAACCAGAGAACTCCTCACTTCCAAAAGGTCGACTGCTGCAGGGCACCTGTGTCCCTTTCCCTCGTCTGCACAGGTGCATCAACAAAGACCTGCTTCCTGCTGAAACACACTGAGGAAGTACAGAAACGGGTTCACGGGCCCTTTAACACTCCCTGATTCGGTCCCGCAGGTTCCTCCTAACCTGCCGCTCATGTTTACTCTCACATCTGGAAGAGACCAGAACCAGGACCCCCTGGTGGACTCAGACCTGCTCATGCTATTTTATCTGGATCCGTTTCTGGGCGTGAATCGAAACAAGCCGCAACCCTGAACCGTCCTTTTAACGGGAGCCGGTCTGAGCGTTCGGGGTGGTTTCAGGTGGCTCGCCCGAGGCCGCAGGATGTGATCATCAAAAGGACTCCTCTTCCCAGCAGCCCCTGCTCCCTCTGCCTTCATGTGGTTTTGGCTCAGATTCTGGTTTTTGTCCTAAAACCAGCAGCAGCAGCGGCGCTACACACACACACTGAACATGGCCACTGAAGAGAGAGCAGAGGAATGTGAGCAAAGGCTGCTGGGAGATCAGACAACACCACAGACACGCTCAGATCGTTCCACTTTGCAGTTCGGATGCGAGCCACCTTCCTATGTGGTCCACATCAGATTCAGGTCTGATAGTTTGAAATGTGACCTCAGTCTGGACGTCAGATCGGAGTTCATGCGTCACTCTAGAGCGACCGTCGTCTCAGTTCAGCTCTAGAAGGAGCGGCGCTGGACGAAAAAGCTCCACTAAAGCCAGAATCAAACTTTCTGCTCGTCCTCGCTACCGTCCGCTCACAGATTCTCTTTCTTCCACCTGAAATCCAACGAATCCAATTTCTCTGATCTCAAGTCTGAACGTGAAACCATGCAGACGTAACTTAAACCTGCGTCCTCTCCAGCAGCCAGCAGGGGGCGACTCCAGCGGCTGCAGAAAGAAAATGTTTCTGCTTCTCAGCTGATTTATTCCCTCAGTAAACACTTTCCTGATGACTTTATGGTCTCAGTCGCTAGTTTCAAGTCTTCTTCAACACAGCGTGATGTTCATTTAGTAAATTATGGTCAGGGTAGGGCTGGACGATATGGGCAAAAATGGTATCACGATAAAAAGTTTCATATCAAACCGTTGATTCTTTTGAGTTTAAAGGCTGATTTTTGCTGCTGAGTGAAGGTTGAAGAAACCTGATGGTTATTGTGGTTTTAAACACGTCTTTATAGTCATCACTTGAGGCCAAACAGTGGATCACTTCATAAATCTGAGGTAGAACATACAAAACAATTATGATAAAATCTTTGTCAACAAATATGCGTGAGTTAAATTAAGTAAAAGCTCTTATCAGTCCTTTTTCCTCAACAAAATAAAAATCTTAATAAAAACATTAAGTCCTAATTAGTGTATGATTGTTGATGATGTTTTGTTAACCTTTTTATTTTTTATCATTTTAACTGTGATCACATTTTAGTTTCTTTATATCCAGGATGTATTTAATAACCGATTAAAGCTGTTAACAGAGTAACTTATAAGTCTTTGGTTTTGTTGTAACACTGATAAATAACTTTTGGAGGGAGGGCCAGTGAGTTTCAAACACACTGGCCCCGTTCTTTATAATAACTCTGCTCTTCCCATGCCGCCCGAGAGCTGCAGGAATCAAACATGTGAACGTCCTGTCATTAACGCTGGTCGTTAATTAAAGCGACGCAGCCTCTAAAGGCGTCCTGCTCACCTCTCACCTGCTGCTCTGTAATAACCACAACAAAATCTCTCCCTCATACGTCCCTCTGGTCATTCTCCTGTGGCAGGAAGTGAACGCCTGACGTTCAGACACCAGAGGCTTCCAACAAAACCTCATCGATTTAAAGTACGAGCAAAGCCAATCATCAGCAACTACTCTGAACACGTTTTATCTTATTAACTAACAAACAGAGGATATTAAACTCCCTGCTGATCCTTTCCCAGCGAGGCTGCAGGAGCGGACGGCTGATTAACTGGTCCATCATTAATCTGCAAGCTCCTTTTCGTAATTCAATTAACTGAAACCTGCCGCTCAGATATTCAGTCGGCCGAAGAACAGGAAGTGTCTGCAGCAGCCCGTCAGTGAGCTGCTGGTGAACCATGTCAGCGGTCGTCCTCTGGAGTTCTAGGGAGGCGGTGAAATGGTTAAAAACGTATGGTTGTGTTTCTTTAAATAATAAAGCATCTGAAACAAACACGTTACTGCTGAGAGAACAGGAATGTTAGACCGGACGCCCTCTGCTTATCGGCCAAAGAAAAACCCGTATCAGTCGACCTCTACGGCAGAAAGAGTTACAGGGTTAAAAAGTCCAATGTGGTGTCTCCAAATGTCCCGACAGCCCAAAACCCAAAAGGAAGGCAGAAAACTCTCACTGGAGCAGCCATGAATTGTAGAGAGAAACTACTTCTCCCACATCCCTGGTGGACTTCTTCAGCGAGTTTAGTTCTTTCAAGCTTTAGTGTGTAACTTTTACTGCCATCTACTGGTGAGGGTTGCGAACAGCAACCGGCAGCTCACGGTGCATTCAGGTGCTCCTCTGGTTGGTCCCACTTCCCGAACTGTGAAGTCGTTCTTCTGACTTGTGTGCGTTTATGAGCTCTGGAGTCAACATGGCCGCTGCTACAAAGATGTATAAACAACACGCAGACATCTAGTTCACTTCAGCGTCGCGCTGAAACGCGCTCTGTAGAGCCGCTTGTCCCTCCGGGCTACTGTAGAAACATGGCGACGGCCGTGTAAGAAGCCCCGCGTGTGTGTAGATAGAAATGATTCATTCTAAAAAGGTAATAAAAACATATTACACAGGTATGGATATTATATTACATGTCTGTCAATAGATCCTCTGAATATCATACACTGAACCTTGAAGCTTTGTGCGTGTTTATTTATTAGCTGATCTAGCTTCTCCAACCATGTGTTTACACATACGGTAATAATAACATGTCGTCAGCTTAATTGACTAATAAAAAAGAATCTTTAGATTAATCGATTTGAAAAATAATTGTTAGGTGCAGCCCTAAATGTTACTCACTGAAAAGCAGCAGGCAAGCTGACCCCTAAAATCCACCGACTACACTGCGCCGCGGTGGCCGGAGCTAATCACGGCCATTATAGCCACCAGACGCGGCCGCAGCGCGTCCCTGAAGCGGCGCTCCGCAGAGAACAGGTAGCAGGTCTAGCCGCGTCACGCAGCACAGAGCAGATCAAACCAGGCAGGACGTCAGACACAGAACGGCAGAGAGAATCCAGTAAATTTTCAAAAGAAAACACCCCGTGGAGACTCCCGGTCATAAAAGAATAAACACGGTTAAAACAAATGAAATCATTTAACTACGTAGCGAGTGAATCACAGTAGAAGCACAAAATGCAAACACTGATGACCAAATTAACAAAATCTAAAACACATCAGCAAAGTCAGGCAGAACGCTCCGATTCTGAAACTCTCCCTGTGAGAAATGCAGCCTGAAGTTGAAGAAACGCGGTCACAGAGCTGTGAAGAAGCAGCGTTTCCCAAACATTCATTTATTTGCGGCGGCCCGTATTTGATTGCAGAGCGCCGTAGCGCATCCTCTCGCTCATCCCTCTCTTTCTCGCTCTCTCCCATGAACACTGCGGCACAAATCTGCCCAACACGTCGCTGTCAAAGTCGGAGACCCCCCCCCCCCCCTTTAGAAGTTATTAGCAGGCAGGTAAGGAGCCTAGGAGGCAGGAGGTAAGGAGAAGCTAATGTGAGAATACAGCCGGGTTATCGAGGCCAACACGCTGTGTATAGCTGGTAGTGTATCGACTGCATGAAAGGTACGGCGCCGGTGTTGATCTGCCTCTGAGCCGGGAGGAAAGCCACAGCTGCATGATGGCGTTCAGCGCCGATCGTGGGCTCTCTGTTTGAAAGAGGTTGTGTTTCGGATTATGCTCAATAGTTCTAAGCTAAAACCTGACGGACGGGTATCTCAGAGAACCGGGTCCTGAATGATGTGAAATCAGCTCCTGAAACGCAGTAATACGTGTTGTTGTTGTTGTTGATAACTAATCTGATCTGTCGTGGAATGTTACAGCTCAGATTATCATACTGAGCGGTCACGGCGCTGATTACAGAGGAAACCTCGGGACTGTTCCCAGATGGCAGAACGTCCGTTCTGACACACTAATGAAAAGCAAACAGATGCTCAGAGCAGAAAACAAACCAGAGGAGGAGGAGGAGGAGGAGGAGGAAGCAGAGGTGCCTACCTTAGTACCAACTGTTAAATCTTGGTGGACACTGCTGTGAAAAAAAGACAGCGTGTTAGAAGCAGCTGGGAGAGAAACTCAACACAACAAGCAAACAGAGGTTAACACGGGGTTAAAGAGACGCCGCCTGCAGACACCGGGGAGGGAGCAGAGACCCAGCAGAGAGGAGAAACACCTACACATAACTTTTATTATCAATAATTCATCTGGATCCACCACTTTCTGAGCTGAATCCTGCCGCGATGCGTTCGCAGTCATCACGTCTGGCTGTGTTTTACCGAGCGGTTTTAACTCGAGCGCTGCAGGCTGAACATTCTGCACATTAACCAGCTGATCCCAGATTAAAGTGTCGAGCATGTTTCCCAGTGACGTCCTCAAACGTCTAGTTTTTTTTCTGAGCTCCGACTCGGTCCGGACCTGGCCCCGGCCCCGGCCCCTGACTCGGTCCGGACCTGGCCCCGGACAGACTGGACCATGCTGCAGGTTACTGAGCTGCGTGGAGAGGATCAGAAACCCAGATAATGAGCCTCTTGGCAGGCGCTCATTAGTTCTGGAGGAGTAACCCGGATCTGTTCGGGCCGTTTGAGGATGTCAGGAGATCTCTGAGAAACACGACGCAGAGGATTCACCTGAAACTGGTACATTAATCCATGAACATTCAAAAGCTCTCGCTGTGTTTTGGGTGAAAAAATATTACATCAGCAGTTTTGAACAAACACTTGATGAAATGAAGGATTTGACACAACGCGGCACATTCCCACTTCCTGTGGAGACAGGAAGCTCAAAGACAAAACACTGCAGCTGAAAATGGTCAGGATAAACAAACATGGAGGAGACCGGATAGCACTGAACAGGAGGACTCAGACCAGGCAGGTTAAAACCAGGAGCTCAAACCAGAGAGAGAAGTCTGTTCATTAGTCCAGCAGCTCCAGCCCTGATGCATGTCACAGGGTGACCAGACGTCCCCGCATCCGGGGACTGTCCCCGTCTGGAGCTCACTCTGACATCACTCTGTGTGTTGCTATCGGTGCATGTGTGTAAAAAATACCAACAGTGAAAACATCCAGTTTCCTCTCGCGGGATTAAATAAAGCACATCTTCTTCTTCTGGGGATTTTACCGCCATTCTGTCTTGAAACGTTTAACTTAAATCAAGAGACAGCTGGTGAGTGTTGTGTTCAACATTACCCGGCAGTTTTGTGCGGCTATTGAGGGGCGCCATCTGCAAAACGCAGGACAGGGGCCAAAAGTGGGTTGAGCGGGTACCTGAGGTGGAAAAGGAGCTTATTTATTGGATTTCACCCGTTTCTCCAATGCCAGACTGATCTTGGGACACTAGGTGGTTCAGATCAGGACAGTTTAGCTCTTCTGCAAGTAGGTTAGAAATGATACTGTCGACTGCATGTACTTTAAGTATTTGTTGTAGTAATCTAGACAATATGTCAGTACTTTAAATACATGTCTACTATTTGCCTGGTGTCTGGGCCCCCGTATACAAGCTTCAGATAGATTTCCAGGGTGTCTCTTTTCACGTATATAAAATGCTCTGTATTTATGATTGAGCAACAACAAAACTGAACATTCCTTCATTTCTGTTTGCATACGTCACGTCTTTGTCATGTTCACGGACTGAGAGACTCCCGGGGTGACGCTGGTAATTGTGTATCAACTCATTATTAATTGAACACGCACCAGCCGGGCGCCGTCTCTTCTTTCTTTGTAAAACAACTTCTTTTTAAGGAAACTTACAGGGAATTACCGTAAAATAAAGCAAACCCAAATAAGGAAATAAGCCAAGGAAGTCCCAAACCACACAGAAGGACAGCACATGTTGTCTCATGTGAAAATGAAGAGTTGGACAGTCTGAGGGAACACGCAAATGAAAAACCGGCTGGTCAGGCTGCATCTGATGTGACTGTGCAGACAGGGAAGCAGCTGGAAGAGGACCCCTCAGGGCCAGAATGAGCCCTGACAAAGCACAAATATTCACAGCAGGAACTCCGTCTCAGAGGATCCAGCTCCTGACTGCAGCCAACACCATGTCCACTATATTTAAAGTTAGCAGTTATAGAGAACAGCAGACACAAGCTCACTGCCTCCAGAGGTGAGGTAAAACAAAAAACATGTTTACTGTCTGCAAATATATCAGGTTTACTGTAATCAAGAGAAAACAAACATGTTTGATTCTCCTTATTAGCTTTAACCTGGACAGAAACAGAACAGAAAACAGCTGCAGGACAAACTGGTTGGCGGCTCATGTTTCCTCCCTTTGTCTTTCAGTGACCCGCAGCATCCAGTATTTAAATTGCAGCTACATTCAGCTTGAAAGAAATCTGTATTACATCTTTAATGTGCACCAGAAGACCATTAAGCCGAACTCCATGTTAAATACCGTCATTTTTAAACTCCCTTTCAAAAGCACAAACCTGTCAGAACAAGACTCTCTTACACCGTAAACACCCGGAACAGCTGTTCAGTCCGGCACAACGCGAAGCTGCATTCATTTTAACAAACTGGTTTCATAAGTAACTTCAGGCCAAAAACGGTAAAAACACCGAGCTGCTACGTTATGATCAGGCCTCCAGTCTGAGCTGTGCAGTTGAAGCCTCCAACAGGTGAGCGCTGGTTACTTCCCCAGCAGGTAAAACTGAACTCCACCTTAAATACCGTCAGTTTTAAGTTCTTTTCCAAATCCTCAAAAGCACAAACCCTTCAGAACATGAGTTTTACACTTTACACGACTCGGACGGGACCCTCCTTCAAGTCGGCACACATGCAGCTCACGAAGCTACATCACTTTTCACTAAACTTTTACAAGTGAGCCTGTCGGGACGAACACACCGCGGTGGGCGTGAGAGCGCCGCAAAGATGGACCGGGAGTTAAGTGCGTCGCTCGCTGATTCTTATTCTTATTCACATCTCAAATAAAAGATTACACGTGTTATAAATAACGACCGTTCGCAGATAAACGAGTAAATTTAACTACCAGGTTTAGTTAATGGAGTTCTGTCCGCGGAGAATGGCCCGTTCCGAGGCTCACACCGCAGCTAGCTCGGCTAGCTTAGCTTCCTGCTGCTACCACAAATACAACTTTACCCACAGCTAAGCTAACAACAACACCGCCGGCTGCTCGCGGGAAACACATTATCTGTGGTCTTTAAACGTTGTTCGCGCTCTCGGGTGCGAGTAAAACCGCCGGAAGCTGAAGTGAATGTCAGAAAGTGGCAGAGTTAACTCACCCGTCCATTGCACAACACGGAACTACGGAGCAACAGGTTCCAGCCAGCGGACAGCGGGACACCTCCGGGGCCACAAGCCGACAAAATGGCGCCCGCCGGGACGGGGCGCTCTGATTGGACAGTTGGGAATATTTGTAGGCGTTCCGGAGCGGATCCGGCTGCTGATTGGCCGGTTGGACAGGCAGGGCAACAACAAAGAGCTGAGAGCGCAGAGATCAAAGATCGTCTCTGAGGACGAGACCACGGTTCTCTCTGGGCGTCGTCCAGTCCGGGTCCAGACCGGGTCCAGTCCGGGTCCAGACCGGGTCCAGACCGGGTCCAGACCGGGTCCGGGTCTGCAACCTGGTTACCATGACAGCGCTCATATTAAAGCAAACACAGGGTGGATTCAGGTGCAGTTTTTGAAACTCTATAAATAAACTCGTTCTTTTAATAAATTTGGACCCAACACACCATATATTTCTGAATTCCTCTAGATGTCTACTTTCCTAACGTGAAGAAATTAAGTGTGTGCAATATTTTGCTTGGTCCACCATTTTGTTGTAGCTGACACAAAACTGATTTTCACTAACATGTTTGGTTAATTGGGACACAGTTTTCTTAGGGCCTCAACTTACAATAGCTGTACTTCAAAAGGTATTTTAAACTCTTTTCTTAACCATAAATGTAATTAAATTAAAAATATGTCTACGGTTACTTGATATTATGTATTAACCTAATATTTGCTGTGAGAGCTTAATTTATAATTACATCAACAAATGTCAACAGACAGTTGATGAGGATGTTAAAATGATTAAAGACTCCAACACCTCGTCAGAAGTGTTTATTTTATTCATTTATCTGTTTCTTGGTGCCATTCTATTCCGCATCAGACCTTAAATCCATCATGAATAAGAATAAAACCCTAGATTAAACAAAGTGAGTAGCAAACGCCTGCATGCATCAGCGTTGCTGCTGGATTAGACTTTTATTTATTAATTGTTAGTTAGAGCACCACATGACACATTTGCTTTCTTGTTTGTCATTTTCAGGAGATATTTAGAATGGGCTAATTTGACCGAATGATGAAGGCCTTCTACACACAATTTGGGGGATTAGCATCATTACTCAAAATTTGCCAAACATCTGATTAAATTTTGTCTCCTACTGTCCTAAATGTCAGGACATCATATCACAGCTGCAGGTAAAGAAAGCAGCAAACAATAACAACGGAAAAGAAGTTAACTCAAACTTTAATTTAATAAAAATAATAAAACATACATAAACAGAAAGAATACTTGTTTAAGGTATCTAAAAACTAAAACAATGGATTTAGCTGTAAGTACCACAGAAAGTCCTTCAGCCTCAGTTTGAACATCCCGGCCGACCGGAGGGAGCTCAGTTAGAGTCTCTGGCACCAGCAAGGCCTCATCTGTAGTTAGAAGAACTTTAAGATGAAGTCTAATGAACACAGAACAGGATCTCCACAGCGGGGGGGGGGGGGGGGGGGGGGGGTCCTTTCTCTGGACTTCAGCACTTTCCTGTGAACTCAAACCAGTTCAGTCAGATGGCTTTCAGACGACACAACTCTCCTCTGACTGAAGGCTTCAGGGGTCAGCAGGTGAGGTCGGCTGGTTTAGACTGCTGATGTTGGGGATTTAACCTGTGACTGCTACAGTGCAGTGGACAGTGTGGACAGTGGACAGTGTGGACAGTGTGAGCAGCAGGCAGGTTTCTGTCTGTCTGCTGGACTCGGTAACACTGGTGTCGTGTAACACGATAAATAATTCCTCCACATGCTGCTTTCCAGGAGATTACTTTGTGTGTTGGAACATGATCCAGCTGCTCACACGTGAATAATTCAACACACACTAACCATTAGCTTGCTCTTCAGAATAAATTCTTTCTTTAACTCTTTATATTAAATTAAAGGACATTTGCACAAATTGTAATTATATATAAATTTTCTATAGTACCTGCGACCCTGTACGCAGGATAAGCGGTTGACGATGGATGGATTGATTTTCTCCAGCAGATAATAGAAATTATAATTTGATTTAGTTGACATAGTTTCTCTAACAGTGCACACTGCAACTGCACCGGATTCAAGATTAGATATATAATTATTAATAATTATAAACACACATATAAATACTTAAAGTATGTATATATTTATTATTATTTTCCTGGCCTGCGGGGGGCGGTGTCGAGCTTTCGCCCAATTAAACTGCAGCTGACAAGAAGAAAAAGACAGGAAACGAAGCGACACGCTATTGGTCAGCTTCTCTCCGGCAGCGCTTCCTATTGGCCGGTTGAGTTGCCCCGCCACTGGTGTGGAAACAGCGCCATAATCAAACAGCGTCCAACTTTTGTTCTCTGCGGTTTGTTTGCGGTCAAATTTGCGCACATTTACATCCAGAGAAACGAAAAGTAAACTCGCTTCATAAAGTGTGTGATTTAATTACGCGTCTAGTTATCGCCCGAGAGACTCGGCGGGGCGGCCCGTATGCTAAGCTAACGACGCTAACACAGGCAGCAGATGCGGTCCGAGCAGGAAGCTAACGTGGCTAACGCTAGCTGAACGCACCGCGGTGTTCTCAGTGAGCAGTGACCGCTCATAGTGCCTCTCTGTCGGCCACAGCAGGGATGAGCTGCCCGGTGAACCTCCAGGCGATGCCGTCCGGTGTGTTTGAAGCGGTTTTCACTCCGGAGAACGTGAGAGGAAGGTGAGTTAATGTCAGGTGAACTTCACCTGCGCACTCATGGAGTTCACTGTGTGTGTTTTAAGTCGCAACGGACATCATTTTATGTCGCAAAAGTTTGTCTTTGTGAAACTTTGACGGTTCTTTTAACACAACAATCACTATTGTGGTCAAACAAGTGTTTATAGCGTAATCAAGTCTGACTTTTACGTGATTACAGCCAATAACAGAAGCCTGTTGTTGCAGACAGATGATGTGTTTGGTCTAATATCCTTGTTTACATTTAACAGACTGTAGTCTATCATTAACAGGACTTACTGCTGAGTTAGATATAAAATAAAGACATGATCTCTTTTGCAATTATCCTTATGACTCTACATTATTTAACTTGCTGTGTACCAACCAGTCATTTTAACCTGTTAAAATACCTTTTAAATGGCCAAAACAACACATAACATGCAGCATTCCACTTGCCAGGAAGTGACTGCAGCCTCTACTGACTGACTGAAAGACAGTTTCTGCCTCAAAGTCACTTTCAGAAGAGTTATGTTTGACAGATTATGAAACCGAAATTGTCCCCTGTTTTTATTTCACATGTAATAACATTATATTTTTTAATGACATACTGACCACCAAAGCAAAAATGTCCCCGGTTTTCATTTCAGAAACCTGCTCACCTTAAATTAAAGAGTCAGGTGTTGTGTTTGTTTGTCCTGCAGGTGTTTTCTCTGTAAATCTGTTCTGCATTGCTTCAGGTTTATATTTATATTTTTGTATATTTTGTTATATTTTCTACTAACCTACTTTCTATTATTATTCATATACCTTATACCTTGATATGCAAGTGAGCAGATTCAGGTTTTGGTCAGAGTAAAGAAACAAACAGTGCTACATCAGGAAGTGTTTATTTAGGTTAAAACAGTGAATTAAAAAGAGCACAGGAGAGAAAACTCGAGTCTGTGTCGACTCGATGTATTTTCATGTATTTTATCCTGTGTACCATAAGACTTTATTGATCTAGGTGTAATTTACACCGGGGACGCTGTGGACATGTCCCCACCACTTTCTGAAATGACTGATTTGGTCCCTTTTTTAAAAGCATTATTTGTTAGAAATGTTCTGAAAGTTTTTTTTGCACAATAAGAAAAACATGCAACACAATTTAAATAAAGAAGAAACTAATGTGCATTGTCCAAAAAAAACAAGCTGCTGATTCTAAAAGGACCCAAACTGCACCGATCAGTAACTTTAACCAAATCTGGACACAATTTCTTCTTGTGCAAGTTTCTCTCCCTGTGAACATGACTGTTGAGTCGGTTTGTGAAGTTAAAAAAGTTTGCAGCATTCAAACAACAAGGCAGTTTAATTTAACATCTAAAGATGACGTAGATTTAATATCTTCAGCTAACAGTGTTGACCTTACTCTTCAGTTGTTTCTGTTGTCATGTTTGTCTCCGCGCTGACTGACACGATGCGTTCTGCTCAGTAGATGTGGTTTTGCTGTTGTTCGATTGAAACAAGCTGCTGATTACTGCATTAAATTCTGTTAAAGTCACCTGCTACCCTAACTTTCCCTTTATATAAATAAAATAAATCCACCATAAATTGATGCAGAACATTTTTCCAGACTGCGGGAAATTAAGTGTTTAATGGTCAAAATGTTCTGGGGGGCCCTGACACCGCCAACTCCTAAATATATTTCTTTAGAATAGTGTTAAAACATCTTCTTGTCGTCTTCTTGTGATCCAATATCATGTTTGGTCTCGTGTGCTTACGAGTGTATCGTCACGCCCCTGATCTGAGCCCTCACGTCTCCCACCGCTTGGAGGGCGGCATTCAGGTGTTGCAGCAGCAGAACGACAGAAATAAGTACAGAGAAAGGTGAGAGAGACATAATTAGAAGTATGTAAAATAAGAATAGGAGCCATTAAACTCAAACAGAACATGTACCCATGGTGTACGATGTTGTACTAGTCGACGGGAGTGTTGGACCAAGTGATCGGTTGCGTTCTCTGCAGCAGAACCCAAAGTATGTTTCTGTTTCATTCATTAATAAAGCTTCATCTGAAACAACACGTTACTGCAGAGAGAACATGTAGATTAGACTGGACTCTAATGGATTATCCAGGACCTTTCTGTGTTTTAATATCAGTATTATGTTTGTCCTGATCTTTAAATATCAGCACCAGTCGATATTTAGACACCGTTATCATCAGGATTATATAGATATATACTGAGTTCCAGCTTCTGAACTGTGAGAATTTTCTGCTTTTCTTCCGCGACAGTGACACAAACCTCATTGTGAGAAAACGACCTCCTGAACCAGCGTTACTTTATTCCCATCCTACATGGGGGGGGATATTTCAAATACAAGAACTGTTGTGGAAATCTCTCTGAGGACTTCTCGTCCACGTTGGTCAGAAGCTGAGATTCAAGTATCTTCAGGACTTTGGGGGCGTTGGTTGGACAAAACAAAAAAGTGTGATGGGCGTAATTAGTACTTGACATTTTATAGATCCAGTTGTGAATGAGTCGATCAATAAATGAACCTCATGTGTTGATAGTAAGAGTAAGACGAGAATCTGCTTCATTATCTCTTCTGTTGAACAGGAGCTCGATGAACTCGCTCACTCCGCTGAGTTTCCCCAAGTCCAGATCAGCTCTGTGGGACGGCAGCCCTGCAGGAGAGAAGCTCCGCCTCCAGCTCTGCGCTCACAGGTGAACACACACACACACCTGCGGCATCATGTGCTTTGACCATAGCAGAGATCGTCACGGGTCTCTGAGCCAGTGTCCAGGTCGAGCCCCGGGTCTCTGAGCCAGAGTCCGGGTCGAGCCCCGGGTCTCTGAGCCGGGTCTCTGAGCCAGAGTCCAGGTCGAGCCCCGGGTCTCTGAGCCGGGACTCTGAGCCAGAGTCCAGGTCGAGCCCCGGGTCTCTGAGCCGGGACTCTGAGCCAGAGTCCAGGTCGAGCCCCGGGTCTCTGAGCCGGGTCTCTGAGCCAGAGTCCGGGTCGAGCCCCGGGTCTCTGAGCCAGAGTCCGGGTCGAGCCCCGGGTCTCTGAGCCAGAGTCCGGGTCGAGCCCCGGGTCTCTGAGCCAGAGTCCGGGTCGAGCCCCGGGTCTCTGAGCCAGAGTCCGGGTCGAGCCCCGGGTCTCTGAGTCAGAGTCCAGGTTAAGCGCGCAGCTGACGCTACGTGTGTTACGTAGGCAGGTTAGAGGTAACGCAGGGGAAAAACGGCACGCTCATCAGACGTGTCACGGGGGAGGTGAGACAACAGGCATTTAAAGGAAATCCGTTAAATATGGCGTGTGGCACAGCTGCATATGTATCTGCATATGTGGTTGTCTCTCACAGTGACGGTAACCTGCCTCCTGATTTCCTCTTTCCGTCCAATCAGGAGACGCTCTCTCACCTCGCTGTGCACGATGCAGAGATCAAAATCGCTGTCGCATCGCACCAGAAAAGGGCAAAAATGAGCAGGTCGGCCCGAGTGTCGGGTTTCCATCTCAGCTGATCAATACCTGTGACTTCTGCGGGGTCATGTGACCCGGGAGCGAATGCCGTTTGGACGCCCTCACACTGAAGTTGATAGTGGGGTTGTTCTCCCGTGTGAACGAGGCTTTAGAAGTCGGACGCCATGTAGCTGTGGCGGCCTCAGTGTGTAGCTGAGCAGAGGTCGTGTGTGTTTCTGCAGGAGGCCTCGGTTGGTGCTGATGGAGAAAGCTCTGCGTCTGGCTCAGCGTCACGCCCGTCACAGCAACAAGCCCCGCCTCCACTGCTTCTTCCTGGGATCACTGTCTGTGGACGCAGGTCAGAGCTCACCTGAACACCGATTGGTCCAGTTACACAGCGTACACTCGTACTAACTCCTGTCCCCTGTCCTGGTCCAGATGAGGAGGGGGTCACTGTGACCCTGGACCGGTTCGATCCGGGTCGGGACCAGGCCGGAGCTTCTGGCAGAGTTCCCTCTGCTCTGCTGCCCGGAGACGTTCTGGTTCCCTGTTTGTTCTCCTCGCAGACTGAGACAACGCCCGACGCTGTCGTCCAATCGGAGGCCGAGCTGCATCACTGCTTCAAGGTGAGTTTCAGGTCAGCGTCCCGTGTAGGACCTGGTTCTTGGTGTTTTCATACTGGACTGACTGTTTCTTCGTTATTGAAATGAGATGTTTTATCATTTCGTCCTGTCGCCCAGCCCTGCCTCAGGCATGGTCACTCCGCCATGACTGGACCAGAGTAGTCACGTGGAGGGCTGCAGCTGACGAAGATTTTAGTTCTCGAAGCTTCTGTAGATGATTTCAACGATCCATCGATGCGTCGTTTGAGAAGCACTTTTGCTTTGCGACGTTATGCCGAGTTTTGCCTGCCTGCTGAGAATTGCAGCCGCGTCCAGATACTGCGTTTAAACGCTATAATATCGTTTCTGGGGTTCATCGATGCTGATAAATGATTGGAAGTATATATTTTAGGAACGTTTAGAGTAGAAGCACCATTCCTAATGATAAGCTAAGCTTGGCAGAACAGATATTGGAGGCTACCTGCCGAGATTTGCATCTCTTTTCTCAACATAAATGAGCGTTATCACCTGCGAGGTGCATGTGATTCTCAGCAGGCAACACCTCAAAGCAAAAGTACTTCTTCGGTAACGGGATCAGCTGTGCACGTTTATAAGTGATGAATATTTATTGGTCCTTTCAGAAATTCATAGTGTCATACAGCAAACATCAGACCAACAACCAGACGGCTGCTTCACAAACACAAACAGAGTTGTTGTTTTCTTTAGCTTGAAATAACACCAGACTTTGGACACTTTCTTCTTCGTCCCTCACTATTTTCTCTCTTCCTCCACTTTGCAAACGGCGCCATCATAATCACGTCGTGTTCACAGCGTGCGACAGTAACAAATGTCCGTGCGAAGCAGTTTGTTATATAGTTATATGGATTAAACGAAGCCTCGACGCAAAGAATTTGTGTCGATGCATTTTAGTAATGGATGAATCGTTTCAGTCCTAGTCACATGACACACGCAGCTGGAAGACAACTCAAGAGGTGTACAGGTGTAATATTTATAAAATAAACCGTGTTTCCCACAGATTTACTTCTGCGGGCCGCCCAGGTGTATAAACAGCTGCCAAAGTAGATTTGACGACCCATTAATTTTTACAGAGACACACAGAGAGATGTTATCGCGTTACACGATGCGGACATGGTGAATATAGAGACAGGAAGAGGCGGGGCCAGCGGGTGTGTTAGCAGCAAGCGACGATGCAAGAGGTGAAGGTGAGTGTGAGAAGTTACACGGTCTTAATGAGAGCGTCAGTCCGGTGAGCAGGTGTCTCGCAGTTCTGTCCCTCTGAACCTGGACGTTTGCGTCATGGCCTCAGTCGCTGCTGTTTGTTCTGCATGATGTTGGTTCTAAAATGTTGTTCTTATGTAAACACAAGGGGCAACATGGAGGTCGTTGGAAGTGAAGTATTGAACCGGCCTCTTCAGCGGGACTGCGCCCCTGGTGATGTCAGCACATTAAACCTTTACCTGTCCGCCTGTCTGTCTGTCTCAGGTGTTGCAGCAGTTTGTGAGCAGCAGACAGACTCTGGATCTGTCTCAGCTGATGAAGGTCAGAGGTCGTGTTGTCTGCTCTCAGCAGTCCGACGCCGCAGCGTTCAGCCTCCGCTGGTCGGCCGTCTGTCCGTCCGCCGCTGTGGACGTTCAGCCGGTACGAGCCGTTCCCGTCATCCCCACAGCTCTGCTGAGGAGTCTGACCAGCATCAACCGACCGCCGCCGCACGCCGCCAACCGACAGAGAGGGTGAGAACTGGTTCCTCAACCGGACGAGTCCGGACTCTTCTAATGGAGCCGGGTCACTTTTTAACTGCGGTGGCGTTTGTGTTGCAGGTTTCTGACCATGGATCAGAACAGAAAACTCCTGCTGCTGCTGGAGTCGGATCCTAAAGCCTCCAACCTGCCGCTGGTCGGGCTGTAAGTGTTTCTGCGTTGTTGCTTCATCACACAGCTGCTCATTTAACCTCTTAACATTCACACGGCCCGCCGCACATCTCGGTCTGTGCACAGCGGCTATGTTAGCTTCATACTCATATGATCCACCGTCTGAAAGCTAAAATCCTCGTGATCCGACCAGTGCAAAGCAAGATACGGTCACCGCAGCGGGTCCAGTCAGCGCCTCTGTCAGACCAGCCAGTACGATCAAAAGTGACGCGACTCACCGATGAAGCCTCACAGTAACTTAATCCACCCATCGAGTATATTCCAACAGAAACGGTCTTGTTACGCTGTCAAAGGTCCAGTAAAAACATTTAGTCCAAAACACATTCTTCCATCAGTAAATCGTCAGGGACGGCTGCCGCATCGCTTCAGATCTGCATCGTCATTCTAAGTAATAACACCGATTTGAATGTAAACAACTACGATGGCTTGTATTCAGAGTTCGGTCTAGACCTGCTCTTTTATGAAAAGCTCTGTGAGATAACTGTTGTTGTGATTCGGCGCTATATAAATAAAAGTGATGAAATTGAAGAAAAATTAGCCGCTGAACTCTGACCTTTCCAGTGACACCATATCCGAGCCAATAGGAGCTCACATGTCCCTTTCACAGCCTTCAACAGCCAATGAGAGCCCGCGCTGTGAGGAAGGACCGGCCCCAGTTATTTCCTGAGTAGGCCGAGCCAACTGTGCCGATGGCTGGCGCTTCCTGTAGCCAATGAAATTCTGAAAATAACGACATCCAGCTTTAAGTAGGAAGTTCATGATCTACCAGCAAAAAAACACGTCAGCAGACGCCTGCCGCCAAGGGGCGGAGCTGTTTTAGAAAAAATACGCATGCCTTGAAGAGGCGTTTTGCATGAATTCTACAGGAATGTTAAGAGGTTAAACACCCACTCTCCAGGTGGGGGTGGTGGCTGTCGTACCTGGGATGTTTGGAGCAGTTCAGGCGTGCTTTTCATGAAAGTCCTTTAAATGAAAGTAAACGCTTCTGTTGAACCTGTTTGTGTTCGTTAACTGTACTTCCTGTCACGTGACAGCTGGCTGAGTGGCGTCACACACGTCTACAGCCCTCAGGTGTGGTCCTGGTGTCTGCGCTTCCTGTTTAGCTCCGCCCTGCAGGACAGGTGAGAGACAGGCCGTCCGTTGCTGTTAGAACTCCTCCGGGTCGCTGTTCTGGTGTCGCTCAGTCTTTGTCTTGTGTTGCAGAGTTCTGTCAGAGAACCGCTGTTTCCTCCTCGTTCTGTTCGGTTCCACCCACAGAGCTCCTCAGTTCTTCCAGTGCCGAGGACCAGGACCTGGATCGCAGCTGGACTACCAGCTGCTGACAGCCTCCCAGTGTGTCACACTGTACCAGGTAACGACACACCGTGTTCTAGAGCTCCTTTAGAACCAGGTTCCCGCGGCTCCTTAAAAGGTCTTAAAATAAAATCGGGGAAATTAAGGTCATGAATTTGTCTTAAATTTTCCCTACATTGGTCGTAGGTATTATTCTCTTCGGCGGTGCGCTGAGGGTTAGAGGTCGGAGAGAGACACTTCAGGCATCGGTTCCTCGCTGCCTTTCTGTTTAATGTGGATTCTTTTCTGAATTTGACTTTAAGGGCCCTGAGTAGTGGTGATTAATAATGTGGTCTGTGTACCTGCAGGTGGTCTCTGTGGAGGGTCAGACTCTGCAGTGTGAGCTGGGTTCAGAGGATCACAGCAGGCAGACGGAGATCTTCAGAGAGGCTCAGGCCTCCTTCAGCAGGTACCAGCGTTCACCTCCTCCTCTGTTCTTCACCGTAAGGCCCCGACCTGAACTTCAGATTTTAGATTTATCAAAATACAGTCGACAGTAAAATCCTGTTGTTTTGAGAGACGTGACCGCTTTCAGTCAGCGTCCGTGGTCGTCATCCTGGAGGACGGTGTGTCGTAAGCAGCTCTGATGGAGATAGAGTTCGGACTCTGAGGCCCCGCCCACACTGCTGCGTTTGGTTTTAAAACAGAAACCTTTTGCTCCGTTTGCTCTTCCTGTCCAGACTGAAACGGCGAAAAGCTCTAAAATGGAGAAGTTTAGGAACGTCTGTGAAGACGAGCCAAAACGGAGGACTTTAGAAACGATGACGCAGACGCTCGCGCTCGGTTCTCTGATTGGGTCTCATAAGTCGTGCAAAGCAGAAACACGATGCTGCTGACAGAGTTTTTGATTTGGTATTTTAATTAAAATATTCTGTATCGTGCAGAAACAACACGTACAGCCTCTGCTCGTACTGTCGCCGTATTTACTGTCTGTTTTCCGCCGCTTTTAACTCCCGTGTTACATTCAGTCCCAGGTCGTTATCGGTCCATGCAAAATAAAATCTGGTGCAGTTCTTCGTCTGCAGTACTTTGTTCTTTCACCAAATCTTCTGTAACTACGGAGTAGACCATCTGCTTCCTGTTTACACCGGCACGTGCAGAGAAGACGTGTTCGCTCACTAGAAGTGCGTTTTCAGTCGTCTTAAAATAGATCAACTCTGATACGCAGCTGTGGACGGAGGTCGTTCTTGTGTGGACGGGGCCTGAGTGTAAATGTGATGTTGAGTTTGTCTGAAGGTGAAGCTTCTGTTGTATGTTTTCCGGTCCCGGCCAATCGGAGAAGACGTGCTGGACTCTGATGTGTTGTCTTGTTGTCTTCTGTCCGTCCTCAGAGCTGCCCCACCAGCCGCCGGTCTGTCTGTCAGCGATCAGGACTCTGGAGTCGAGGATGAGGACCTGTCGCCGCGGCCGTCCCCGAGCCCCCACCCCCCCGCTCAGCAGGTCAGTCTGTTACAGTCCGCTGCCCGCACCAGGTTTCCAGCCTCAGTGGGGCCGGACCGGATTCTGTCACAGTAAGACTCTGAACACGCCCTGAAGGCCACGCCCACAAACATCTAGGGATGCAGTTTCCTTGCTGGTACGACCGTGGTTTGAACTAACATGTTTCCACATGTGGTCGACCGATATTAAGTGACATTATTATACCAACTCGTTATTTAGTCTTTTCATATTATGGTCCGGCAATAATAAAAAAATCAACAATATAAATTATTTAGAAACTAATATTTTTATTCAGCCTAAATATATAACTTTTTTTTTTTTTTTTATAGCCATGGCAACATTTTAGAAGAAAAATTAAGATTACAAAACATTTAGTAAAACAGGTTTAATCTGCAAATATCTGCATCTTGCGGTTTAACGCTGTTAAGAATCCGTTGGCCGCAGCTGATTTCAAAGTCTTGAGAAAAGCTCAGTGCAATATGGCTGAGCTTGTGCTTGTTGTCTATTGAGACAGACGCGTGAGTTCTCTATTTATCTTAAAGCTCAGGGATTTATTCATTACTCTGCTGTCATGGATTTTACGCCGTCCCTTTTTATATTTATGTTTGTAATGAAGACTAGAGAGAAGCCATCTTCCTCAGAGGCTTAGAGATGTACACATGAAGGTGATATTAAAAGTCTTTACATTCTCTGTTCTGTCCTGTAACCTTTGTACTGGGTGACTAATATTAAATGAAGTTATTGTGAACAGATCTGTGAGAAAACGCCTGCTGTTTGTAGCTGGTCTACTGACTTAATGCAGCCCCACCCATGACCCAACAGGGCTCAACGTTAAACTTTTTTGCAACTCACGGTGAGTCCCTCCCAAAAGTTATTTATCAGTGTTACAACAAAACCAAAGACTTATAAGTTACTCTGTTAACAGTTTTAATCGGTTATTAAATACATCCTGGATATAAAGAAACTAAAATGTGATCACAGTTAAAATGATAAAAAATAAAAAGGTTAACAAAACAATTTACTTTTAAAACAAAACACACTAACAGAGTCAAACATGACGTGCTCTCTCTGCACAGAGCAGCGGATACGAGTCGCCATGGTAGCAACACGCCAATCAGCTTGTAGCCCCGCCCTAAAGCCTCCCCTGCTTCCTGGTCTCTGTTCCTCTAAATGGGACCATAATTTACTAAATGAACATCACGCTGTGTTGAAGAAGACTTGAAACTAGCGACTGAGACCAGAAACTCATCAGGAAAGTGTTTACTGAGGGAATAAATCAGCTGACAAGTAGAAACAGTTTCTCTCTGCAGCCGCTGGAGTCGCCCCCTGCTGGCTGCTGGAGAGGACGCAGGTTTAAGTCGCCCCCTGCTGGCTGCAGGAGAGGACGCAGGTTTAAGTCGCCCCCTGCTGGCTGCTGGAGAGGACGCAGGTTTAAGTCGCCCCCTGCTGGCTGCAGGAGAGGACGCAGGTTTAAGTCGCCCCCTGCTGGCTGCTAGAGAGGACGCAGGTTTAAGTCGCCCCCTGCTGGCTGCTAGAGAGGACGCAGGTTTAAGTCGCCCCCTGCTGGCTGCTAGAGAGGACGCAGGTTTAAGTCGCCCCCTGCTGGCTGCTGGAGAGGACGCAGGTTTAAGTCGCCCCCTGCTGGCTGCTAGAGAGGACGCAGGTTTAAGTCGCCCCCTGCTGGCTGCTAGAGAGGACGCAGGTTTAAGTCGCCCCCTGCTGGCTGCTAGAGAGGACGCAGGTTTAAGTCGCCCCCTGCTGGCTGCTAGAGAGGACGCAGGTTTAAGGCGCCCCCTGCTGGCTGCTGGAGAGGACGCAGGTTTAAGGCGCCCCCTGCTGGCTGCTAGAGAGGACGCAGGTTTAAGGCGCCCCCTGCTGGCTGCTGGAGAGGACGCAGGTTTAAGGCGCCCCCTGCTGGCTGCTGGAGAGGACGCAGGTTTAAGGCGCCCCCTGCTGGCTGCTAGAGAGGACGCAGGTTTAAGGCGCCCCCTGCTGGCTGCTAGAGAGGACGCAGGTTTAAGGCGCCCCCTGCTGGCTGCTAGAGAGGACGCAGGTTTAAGGCGCCCCCTGCTGGCTGCTAGAGAGGACGCAGGTTTAAGGCGCCCCCTGCTGGCTGCTAGAGAGGACGCAGGTTTAAGGCGCCCCCTGCTGGCTGCTAGAGAGGACGCAGGTTTAAGGCGCCCCCTGCTGGCTGCTAGAGAGGACGCAGGTTTAAGTCGCCCCCTGCTGGCTGCTAGAGAGGACGCAGGTTTAAGGCGCCCCCTGCTGGCTGCTGGAGAGGACGCAGGTTTAAGTCGCCCCCTGCTGGCCGCTAGAGAGGACGCAGGTTTAAGTCGCCCCCTGCTGGCTGCTAGAGAGGACGCAGGTTTAAGTCGCCCCCTGCTGGCTGCTGGAGAGGACGCAGGTTTAAGTCGCCCCCTGCTGGCTGCAGGAGAGGACGCAGGTTTAAGTCGCCCCCTGCTGGCTGCTGGAGAGGACGCAGGTTTAAGTCGCCCCCTGCTGGCTGCAGGAGAGGACGCAGGTTTAAGTCGCCCCCTGCTGGCTGCTGGAGAGGACGCAGGTTTAAGTCGCCCCCTGCTGGCTGCAGGAGAGGACGCAGGTTTAAGTCGCCCCCTGCTGGCTGCTGGAGAGGACGCAGGTTTAAGTTCCGTCGGCATGGTTTCACTCGAATAATAAAAATATCCGTTTTATGACCTGCACGCATGCTCACTTCCTGTCAGCTCTACAGTAACGTTAGCTTCACCGCTGATCTCCGTACAGGCGTTCCTGCTGAGTCTGCGAGGGTTCAGGCTTCAGGGCCGACGTGTAGCCCGGAGGGTGACAATGTCGCCACAGACGGCCAATAGCAGCAGGACAGCAGAGTACCTGCGTTCACCTGCAGGTGTCTTTTGTTTCAGGCTCGGAGAGTTCAGCCGTCTGTTCCTGAACTTTCTCTGCTGATTGACGGCAGCTTCACCTCCAATCAGAGCCGCTGGCAGGACGCTGGCTCCGCCCACAGACCACCTCCTGCTCCTGCTGCTGCTGACAGGAAGTCTGCTCCTCCAACCGGAAACTCCTCCGCTCCCAGACCTGCTCCTCCTCCTCACCTCCACAGCACCCCCAACTCCATCCAGCAGCAGCCCTGCACCTGCTGCTCCACCCACACCTACGACTGCACCTCCATCTTCTCCCCAGGACTCCCGCCTGGTGCAGCTGCTCCTACACCTGCTGCTTTCTCAAACCACACTCCTCCTCCCTCCAGTCTCCACCCTGCTCCTCCTCCTTCCACTTACCATCCAGTTGCTCCTTCTGTTCCTCCTTCCCGCAGTCGCGGCACTCCTTTGTCCTTCCATCACCATACTCCACCTCCCCCCTCAGCTCCTCCTCCCTCCCACACCCCATCCTCTCCTCCCTCCAGCAACCACCACACTCCTCCTCCCTCCACTCGTCTCTCTGCTCCTCCTCTTCCATCCCTCCTCCCTCCGCCTCCTGCTGTCCCGTGGTTTGGTGACTCCCCCTCTCCTCACCCCTCCCGTCCAGCAGCAGACCCTGGATCTCCCCCGTGGATCCCCCGTCCCTCCTGTGTGAATCAGTGCTGCGGTCAGGTGGGAGGAGTCACCCGGTCTGATCCCTACCAGCTCCTCCTCCAGCAGGACCGACAGCTTCGCCTCCTGCAGGCTCAGGTAACAGATTCATCACGTGACTCCTGGCTCGGACATTTCCCACTGCGTAAGGGGGTCGGGTTCTCATGTTTACTGCGTCCAATCAGAGTGTTTTTCTGCGTTTAGGTCCAGATGTTGCTGGAGGCTCAGGGGAAACTTCAGTCCTCCAGTCGGCAGGTCGACACTCAGATACCCAGGAGCACCGCCAGCATCGCCGTGGGGACAGGTGAGGCTGTCAGGACGGGTGTTCCACCTGTTACCAGGTGAAAGTCAGCATCACACATCTCACTCTCTGGTTTGCAGGTGCCAGTCTGTTCTGGGGGGATCCTGTCCAGCCCCTCCATCATCAGGAAGTACAGGCTCCTCCCTCATCCTGCCCCAGCCCACCCCCCTCACACGCCAACCTCTCTGTCATGAGGCCTGAGGGCGGAGCTGAGGACAGTCACATCACAGGTCAGGAGGCTACCTGCTCCCCCTCTGGTCAGCTCAGGTGAGACTCATCTGCTTTTCGTTTCTTTACACCTGCAGCTACAGATCTGTTCACGAGGACCGGAGACTTGGCGTTAAAGACTGGAGACTTGGCGTTAAAGACTGGAGACTTGGCGTTAAAGACTGGAGACTTGGCGTTAAAGACTGGAGACTTGGCGTTAAAGACTGGAGACTTGGCGTTAAAGACTGGAGACTTGGCGTTAAAGACTGGAGACTTAAAGACTGGAGACTTGCTGTTAAAGACGGGAGACTTAAAGACTGGAGACTTGGCGTTAAAGACGGGAGACTTAAAGACTGGAGACTTGGCGTTAAAGACGGGAGACTTAAAGACTGGAGACTTGCTGTTAAAGACGGGAGACTTAAAGACTGGAGACTTGGCGTTAAAGACGGGAGACTTAAAGACAAGAGACTTGTTGTTGTTGGAGACGGGAGACTTAAAGACAGGAGACTTGCTGTTAAAGACAGGAGACTTGCTGTTAAAGACTGGAGACTTGCTGTTAAAGACAGGAGACTTGCTGTTAAAGACTGGAGACTTGCTGTTAAAGACAGGAGACTTGCTGTTAAAGACAGGAGACTTGCTGTTAAAGACTGGAGACTTGCTGTTAAAGACTGGAGACTTGCTGTTAAAGACTGGAGACTTGCTGTTAAAGACTGGAGACTTGCTGTTAAAGACTGGAGACTTGGCGTTAAAGACGGGAGACTTAAAGACTGGAGACTTGGCGTTAAAGACGGGAGACTTAAAGACTGGAGACTTGCTGTTAAAGACGGGAGACTTAAAGACAAGAGACTTGTTGTTGTTGGAGACGGGAGACTTAAAGACAGGAGACTTGCTGTTAAAGACAGGAGACTTGCTGTTAAAGACAGGAGACTTGCTGTTAAAGACTGGAGACTTGGCGTTAAAGACGGGAGACTTAAAGACAAGAGACTTGCTGTTAAAGACTGGAGACTTGCTGTTAAAGACGGGAGACTTAAAGACAAGAGACTTGCTGTTAAAGACGGGAGACTTAAAGACTGGAGACTTGGCGTTAAAGACGGGAGACTTAAAGACTGGAGACTTGGCGTTAAAGACGGGAGACTTAAAGACAAGAGACTTGTTGTTGTTGGAGACGGGAGACTTAAAGACAGGAGACTTGCTGTTAAAGACAGGAGACTTGCTGTTAAAGACTGGAGACTTGGCGTTAAAGACGGGAGACTTAAAGACAAGAGACTTGCTGTTAAAGACTGGAGACTTGCTGTTAAAGACGGGAGACTTAAAGACAAGAGACTTGCTGTTAAAGACTGGAGACTTGCTGTTAAAGACGGGAGACTTAAAGACAAGAGACTTGCTGTTAAAGACTGGAGACTTGCTGTTAAAGACGGGAGACTTAAAGACAAGAGACTTGCTGTTAAAGACGGGAGACTTAAAGACTGGAGACTTGCTGTTAAAGACTGGAGACTTGCTGTTAAAGACTGGAGACTTGCTGTTAAAGACTGGAGACTTGCTGTTAAAGACGGGAGACTTGCTGTTAAAGACGGGAGACTTAAAGACAAGAGACTTGCTGTTAAAGACTGGAGACTTAAAGACAAGAGACTTGTTGTTGTTGGAGACGGGAGACTTGTTGTTAAAGACTGGAGACTTAAAGACAAGAGACTTGCTGTTAAAGACTGGAGACTTAAAGACAAGAGACTTGCTGTTAAAGACGGGAGACTTAAAGACAAGAGACTTGCTGTTAAAGACCGGAGACTTGGCGTTAAAGACCGGAGACTTGGCGTTAAAGACCGGAGACTTGGCGTTAAAGACCGGAGACTTGGCGTTAAAGACCGGAGACTTGGCGTTAAAGACCGGAGACTTAAAGACAAGAGACTTGCTGTTAAAGACGGGAGACTTAAAGACTGGAGACTTGGCGTTAAAGACGGGAGACTTGGCGTTAAAGACCGGAGACTTAAAGACAAGAGACTTGGCGTTAAAGACGGGAGACTTAAAGACCGGAGACTTAAAGACAGGAGACTTGCTGTTAAAGACGGGAGACTTAAAGACTGGAGACTTGGTGTTAAAGACGGGAGACTTAAAGACAAGAGACTTGCTGTTAAAGACGGGAGACTTAAAGACTGGAGACTTGGCGTTAAAGACGGAGACTTAAAGACTGGAGACTTGGCGTTAAAGACGGGAGACTTAAAGACTGGAGACTTGCTGTTAAAGACGGGAGACTTAAAGACAAGAGACTTGTTGTTGTTGGAGACGGGAGACTTAAAGACAGGAGACTTGCTGTTAAAGACAGGAGACTTGCTGTTAAAGACAGGAGACTTGCTGTTAAAGACAGGAGACTTGCTGTTAAAGACTGGAGACTTGGCGTTAAAGACGGGAGACTTAAAGACCGGAGACTTAAAGACAGGAGACTTGCTGTTAAAGACGGGAGACTTAAAGACTGGAGACTTGGTGTTAAAGACGGGAGACTTAAAGACAAGAGACTTGCTGTTAAAGACGGGAGACTTAAAGACTGGAGACTTGGCGTTAAAGACGGGAGACTTAAAGACTGGAGACTTGGCGTTAAAGACGGGAGACTTAAAGACTGGAGACTTGCTGTTAAAGACGGGAGACTTAAAGACAAGAGACTTGTTGTTGTTGGAGACGGGAGACTTAAAGACAGGAGACTTGCTGTTAAAGACAGGAGACTTGCTGTTAAAGACAGGAGACTTGCTGTTAAAGACAGGAGACTTGCTGTTAAAGACTGGAGACTTGGCGTTAAAGACGGGAGACTTAAAGACAAGAGACTTGCTGTTAAAGACGGGAGACTTAAAGACAAGAGACTTGCTGTTAAAGACTGGAGACTTAAAGACAAGAGACTTGCTGTTAAAGACTGGAGACTTAAAGACAAGAGACTTGTTGTTGTTGGAGACGGGAGACTTGTTGTTAAAGACTGGAGACTTAAAGACAAGAGACTTGCTGTTAAAGACGGGAGACTTAAAGACAAGAGACTTGCTGTTAAAGACTGGAGACTTAAAGACAAGAGACTTGCTGTTAAAGACGGGAGACTTAAAGACAAGAGACTTGCTGTTAAAGACTGGAGACTTAAAGACAAGAGACTTGCTGTTAAAGACGGGAGACTTAAAGACGGGAGACTTGCTGTTAAAGACTGGAGACTTGCTGTTAAAGACTGGAGACTTGGCGTTAAAGACCGGAGACTTGGCGTTAAAGACCGGAGACTTGGCGTTAAAGACCGGAGACTTAAAGACAAGAGACTTGCTGTTAAAGACGGGAGACTTAAAGACCGGAGACTTGGCGTTAAAGACCGGAGACTTGGCGTTAAAGACCGGAGACTTGGCGTTAAAGACTGGAGACTTGGCGTTAAAGACCGGAGACTTAAAGACAAGAGACTTGCTGTTAAAGACGGGAGACTTAAAGACTGGAGACTTGGCGTTAAAGACGGGAGACTTAAAGACTGGAGACTTGGCGTTAAAGACGGGAGACTTAAAGACAAGAGACTTGTTGTTGTTGGAGACGGGAGACTTAAAGACAGGAGACTTGCTGTTAAAGACAGGAGACTTGCTGTTAAAGACTGGAGACTTGGCGTTAAAGACTGGAGACTTGCTGTTAAAGACCGGAGACTTAAAGACAAGAGACTTGCTGTTAAAGACGGGAGACTTAAAGACTGGAGACTTGGCGTTAAAGACGGGAGACTTAAAGACTGGAGACTTGCCGTTAAAGACGGGAGACTTAAAGACAAGAGACTTGCTGTTAAAGACGGGAGACTTAAAGACTGGAGACTTGGCGTTAAAGACTGGAGACTTGCTGTTAAAGACCGGAGACTTAAAGACAAGAGACTTGCTGTTAAAGACGGGAGACTTAAAGACTGGAGACTTGCCGTTAAAGACGGGAGACTTAAAGACTGGAGACTTGCCGTTAAAGACGGGAGACTTAAAGACTGGAGACTTGTTGTTGTTGGAGACGGGAGACTTAAAGACAGGAGACTTGCTGTTAAAGACCGGAGACTTGTTGTTAGAGACCGGAGACTTGTTGTTAGAGACCGGAGACTTGTTGTTAGAGACCGGAGACTTGTTGTTAAAGACGGGAGACTTGGAGTGTGACTCGAGCTAAAGCCTCCCCTGTGTGGTTGCAGCGGTCTGCAGAGTCCGGTTCTGGGAGAGAGTGTCAGCATGTACGAACCCGCAGACGACCAGCAGAACTTCTACCACGACCTCATGGTAACGCAGTCGGTCACATGATGCAGTCAAACAGGTAGGATATTGATTATTTGATCGATGACCTGGTGACTCGTCCTCAGGATCAGCTGACCAGCCGTCTTCAGGAGTCAGACAGCAGACAGGAAGAGGAGGAGGAGGAGGAGTCCAGCCTGTCTGTGGTCCCTGACCGCCCCCAGTCCTCCCACTCCTCCCGGTCCAGGAGGAAGCAGCAGGGTCATGGATCCGACCTGGTGGTCAGCGCCACCTTGCGGCAGCTGCGGCAGCTCGGAGTCGACGTGGACGAAGATCTGACCGAGTCTGACAGGAGAAAACACCAGACCGTGGAGAGCAGCAGGTACGGACCTCACCTGGTCACACCTGCTATCATGTGATTCGGTCAGCCTCCAGGTTCTCACTGTGTTTGTTTGTTGTCAGCACTCTGGCGAGCATCAGCCCGGCAGCGGTTCTGTCCAGACTGAGCGTGTCCGAGCCGTCGGCCAGCTCTCTGTACCCGGGAGGCAGCGTGGATCTGAGTCTGGAGGCCAACGCCATCGCCCTGCGCTACCTGAGCGACTCTCAGCTCAGCAGGTTGTCTCTGGGGGGCCACGCCCCCCTCCCAGCCCCCGCCTCCTCTAACGACACCCTGATGTCTCCTAGCAACATGTCCCTGGCGACAAGGAAGTACATGAAGAGGTACGGCCTGATCGAGGAGGAGGACGGCGAGGCCGAGGAGGAGGAGGCGTGTGCTCGCCAGCCGCTAACCGAGGCTCTGAATGTGAAGCTCCTCCCACAGAGTCAGCTGATCAGGGACCTGCGGCCAAAAATGCAGATGTTAGCCGGCGGCACCAAACCCAGCAGCAGCGACAAGGAGAACTGTTCCAGCAGGCGGACATCTTTAGTGAGGGCGAGCAGCCGCCAGACAGAAGGGTCAGTGGGAAACATCCTAGACCTGAGCCGCCTGAGACAGCTGCCCAAACTGTTCTGACACCCGAGAACCAGCGGTCTGAAACCTGCTGGCGACTTTAAAACTGTTATTTTTTAAATGGAGTCTGGTGCGTCTGAGGTGCTCGGTGTGGAAACACTCAAACTCTTCTGAACCAGCGGTCTGAAACCTGCTGGCGACTTTAAAACTGTTATTTTTTAAATGGAGTCTGGTGCGTCTGAGGTGCTCGGTGTGGAAACACTCAAACTCTTCTGAACCAGCGGTCTGAAGGTGCTGGAAGATTTTAAAAACTGTCCTATTTTAAATGGAGTCTGGTGTGTTCAGTATGTAAAGACTCTGCTGGTTCAGACCCTGTGTGTCATGGTCAGACTGGTTTTACTGGAAATCTGCCTCCTTTAGTTTCTCTGCTTTTTATCAGGTTTGTGTTTATGAACTGTTTCTGTGTTTGATCTTTTGTCACTTCCTGTTTTTATGTGAAATGTCTTTTGCACAGATTTATTTTTTTTTTAATTTATGACAAATAAAATTGATAATACTTTTAGTACCAGAGTACATGTTTATATCAGAATGTTTAACAGCATGTGGGATACTTCGACAAAACACTTCTAATAATCAACCTCTGTGGACAGACGTTTTAAAAAATACGTGTTTTAAACTTGGTGTCTCCTAAACCTCATTGAACCTCCCCCCCCCCCCTTCAAGGCTAATTTCTTTTAAAACCTGCACCCTGTTTTCTCATGTTATTGTCTGTATGTGACTAATGGAAACCCTTTTTAAATTTGTCCAGTATTGAGCAGCAACGCAATCCAACACAGTGCGTCCACTAAAGAGCTTGTTTTTCCCGCTGACCGGTGTTTAAAAGTGTCTGATGGAAAGGACCCCTGCAGAGAGACGAGTAAACACAATCACAAACTGATCGATCCAGAGAGGTTAAATCACTATTTTTATCACTGGAGTCTGGCGGCTTTGAAGAGAGCGTTATAGCGACGGTTTCTGGTTAAACAAAAATATCTTGCTCTTTTAAAGGTCTCTCTCTGCAGGGATCCTTTCCACGATGCTGTCAGACACCAACAGTGTGAGCCTGTCAGCGGCAACGAGCTCTGTAGCGGATGGACTTTGACAGCAGCTTGCTCGCTCAGTACCAGACCCGTTTGAAAAACTGTCGTCCCGGTTAGTCACATAGACACAAAAACATGGGAAAATAAGGTCCAGGTTGAATAAAAGCTGCCCTTTAACCGCCCCAGAGCAGCTGGATTCTCCTCTTTCTGTCACAGGCGGAGCTGTCGGGGTCTCTTAGACTAAAAATAATGATGAGTCTGGCTTCAACTCTGATTTTTAGGAAAATCAAACCCAGACTTCCTGAGTATTTTCTTTAGTAAGTTTAATCCATTTATCTCTATAACTGATGAGCCCCACTTTGTTATAATTCTACTGTAGATGTGATGGCTCCTTTTGTTAAAAACCTTGTTATGCTCATGTCCCCTCGGGGCCCCGGTAAAATCAATCCACCTTAACAAACTCATCTGTTTACTAGTTAAAGATTCCCAGAAAGCAGCTGTGGACGGCGACGGTCCTGATCCCGAGGACAAACTTTACATTTTCACCTCACCAGTAGCAAGTACGGAGATCCTTTACTACAGTAAAAGTACTAATACCACAGTGAAAGTACTCCACTACAAGTCCTGCATGCAAGCCTTACTTCAGTAAAGGTATGGAAGTATTATCAGCTAAATGTACTTACAATATAAAAGTTAAAGTACTCATGTTGTAGTAAAATGTTCCTGTCAGTGTTTCAATATTCCTTCTGCCTCTCAGAGTAGAAGTATGAAATATACCTCAAATTTGTACATAAGTGCAGTAGTGAGTAAATTTACTTTAAGTTACTTTCCACCACAGCCAGTGTGTCAAGGACGGAAGAAGTTTCCTGTGTGGTGGTGATGATGATGATGCAGGTTACTGCCCCCTGCTGGTCAGACGTCCGTCCTGCAGCGGTGACAGTTATTGATTAGTGATCAGACGTCATGTGGCACCAGCTGCTGAGCGGCTGCACGTTTCCTGGAGCTCTGAGCTGTTGACGAACACACGATCAATGTCTCAAAGGTTGCTGTGGTGTTCCAGTGCTCTGCAGGACACTGACCTGAGTTCAGCTCAAACTGCTCACATCTGTCTGAGCACAGGCCGCGCTCTACCTGTTCAGGTAAGAATTTAACAGCTAGTCTTCCTCCTGGGGTTCAGGTGAATACTGAATGTGTTTGTCAGGTGTTTCTCTTCCTGGTCGTCTGTGAGAAACATTTAAAAATCCTCGTTTGTGTTTTTCCACCTGTTTTACATGTTGTCTTTCCTGCAATGTGTGAATCAGCTTTAAACAACATTTAAAGGAGAAATATTAGAAGTCTTTAATCTGGAGCGTAAAATCTGAAAAGAGTTAATTTATTCAGATTTAATGCAGTGATTATATTTAGGGTTGATTAATGTTTAAAAGTGGAATTTAAAGTCTTTAAAGCGACCAAGTTTCATCTCAGTGTCCTTGTTTGTTTTAGAGCAACAAAAATCTGCAGAATTCAGACAAACTTTGTTTTAAGGCTTAATCTGGAGAAACTTAAAGTTGCATTTAAAATCATAAATTTATCAGATTTAGTTGCAGAGAAAATGAAAGATTTGCAGATAAACTGTGGGGTTTGATGAGTAACTGAGCAGAGTGTGTAGGTGGGTGTGTTTGTTTGGTGTGTCGCTGCAGGTATTGATGATTTCCAGCTGAAACGTTTCGCCGAATCTCCCGTTTTAAAACAAACGGACAAACCTTATTGACAAGAAGAAATAATCTCATCTATAGAAATAGAACTAACTGATCTGATCACTACTTGGCTTCAGATATTAGGGGTGTGACGAGACCCTTAACCCACGAGACGAGATTATATTATTTGTGTGAGTCTTCAGTGAGACAGCTTTTTCCCTGACGAGAAATATCGTCATAATTTAATCTCGTGAGATCTTGTCAAGCCCTATCAGATATTGATCCCGACTGACCTGGTTTTCCCTCTGAGATTTTAAAGCTTCATCATGAGGACTGCCGATTGGCTGTTGTCTCTGGCGTCCTTGCTGCTCATCTCCTCTGTCCGTCCGGACATCTGCAGCGCCAAACCCAAAGACCTCCCCTGGAGCCGCGATGCATCTACCGCAGCCCCGAGGCCCCCACCACGGAGCCCGAGCCGATCCCCGAGTCCACCAACCCCCGAGTGTGGGAGCTGTCGAAGGCCAACAGCCGCTTCGCTCTGTCGCTCTACAAACAGCTGGCCCTCAGCAAGACCCCCGAGTCCAACATCTTCATGTCCCCCATCAGCATCTCCACCGCGTTCGCCATGACCAAACTGGGAGCCTGTAACCAGACACTGCAGCAGATCATGGAGGTCAGAAAGAGAAACCCTGTTCAGAGTTCATCACCACAACCTGATTGTGGAGTCTGCCGGTCTCAGCTGCTGTTTTCTGTCTGCAGGTCTTTAAGTTCGACACCATCAAAGAGAAGACGTCGGACCAGGTCCACTTCTTCTTCGCCAAACTCAACTGTCGCCTGTACAGGAAGAAGGACAAGACCACCGAGCTGATCTCCGCTAACCGCCTGTTCGGAGACAAGTCTCTGATCTTCAACGAGACGTATCAGAACATCAGCGAGACGGTGTACGGAGCCAAGCTGCTGCCGCTCAACTTCAGGGTACCATGTGATCCAACATGTGAACCACTCAGCGTTCATATTCATAGCAATCATTGAACTGATACATGAACTATTCTGGTTCTGTGCTGCAGGAGAACCCAGAGAAGGCCCGGGTCACCATTAACAACTGGATCTCCAACAAGACAGAGAACCTGATCCAGGACACGCTGCCATCAGGGGCGCTGGACTCCAACACGATCCTGGTCCTCGTCAATACCATCTACTTCAAGGTACTTTTCTCCCAGCAGCCTCCTGTTGTGTCGGTCTGTTTAAGTAGTAACACCGAGGTCAAAGGACCAGAAATATAAAGCAGGAGGTCGTCTGCATAGAAGGAGAAGTTGTTCCTTTATTGAGCCTCAGCTTCGTTGCAGGAGGTTCTGCTGACGTTCCCTCATTTCTTTCCTCAGGGTCAGTGGAAGAACAAGTTTGAGAAAGACAACGTGTACGTCTCAGATTTCCACGTCGGTGAGCGTCGGACCTGCCCGGTCAACATGATGTACCAGGAGACTAAGTTCAGGTACCGGTTCTTCCCCGACGACCAGGTGCAGCTGCTGGAGATGCCGTACCGTGGAGACGACATCACCATGGTGATCATCCTGCCGAGCAGAGAGACCACGCTGAGTAAGGTAATCCCACCGCTCAGCCAGAGATGTTGTTCTACCTCTTTGTTACATTTTAGACCTGCTGCTCCTCCTCCTTCTCCTGCTCCTCCTCCTGATACAGAGCCTTGTGGTTCTCCACAGGAAAGACATGTTTGTACGTGAGGAGTCAGATTTTGGTGTTTCCTGTGTGTTTCAGGTGGAGGAGAGTCTGGACCTGAAGAAACTGACCCGCTGGTTGGACGAGATGAAGGAAACCACCGTCTCCGTCAGCGTCCCTCGCTTCAGGGTGGAGGACAGTTTCAGTCTGAAGGAGGAGCTGCAGGCCATGGGACTGACCGACCTGTTCAGCGCAGAGAAGGCCAGCCTGCCAGGTGAGGGGGCGGGGCCACACACACCTATGACGCAGGTGGTTTATCAGGTGTAGAGTTGTACTAAAGTGAGTGTGGGGCGTTTGGGAACCAAATTGATACTCTTTCACCCACACCCCCCGACCGTCTGGGAAGGGGTGGTGGGACTGGGGTTCTTAATTTCCAACAAATGGAAATTCACAAAGCTGCTACCCCCGAATCAATATGCCTCCCTCGAATACCATGCTGTCTTGGTGTCCGCTCCAGTAAAGGTCTCTGTGATTGTCATATACCGTCCACCAGGACAAATGGGTAACTTTGTGGACGAGCTTGACACACTGCTGTCTTCAATACCAGAGCATGACTGTCCCCTACTTGTCCTCGGTGACATGAACATTCACTTCGACAATTCAAAACATTTATGTAACACGGGTTCTCAGCCCCCCAACCCACACAGCTGGCAAGGTGCTTGACCTCATTCTTGTCCGAAACTGTGCCACAGAGTGCCTAACAGTCACACCTCTACATGTGTCAGACCACTATTTCATTCAGTTCACAGTATGCCTAAAGGAGAAAAGCCCATTGTTCCAACACCGTTGGTCTCACACCGCCGCAACCTCCGCAACCTGTCTCCCGCTCACTTTGCCTCAGTGGTAGCTTCCGCTCTACTTTCCCTCAACACATTTTCCTCACTTGAGGTCAATGATGCCGCACAATCTCTGTGCTCTACACTAAGCTCGTGCCTGGATTGCCTGTGTTCTGTATCCACCAAGCCTGCTCGCCCAAACCAGTCCCACCCGTGGCTAACTGATACCATCTGTGGGCTTCGTACTGGTCTCACAGCTGCTGAAAGAAAGTGGCAAAGACCCCGCCGACCTTAAGGGCTACCAA